TATGTATATAATGTAATATAGCATAATATAATATAATATAATAATATATTACTATATTCTACTATACTGTATTATAATTTATACCAATTACTATACTGTATTATATACTGCTACTACACTGGTACTATATTATAATTTATACCAATTACTATACTATTTTATATACCGGTATTTTACTGATACTATACTAGTACTACATTATAATTTATACCAATTATTCTTTTCTAATTTACCAATCTACTAATTTAGTATAATTTAATATATATTAATTGTTATTAGTGTGCACTTGAATTTGTATCACATGTATATTTATTTTTCCACAATAAATTCACTACTGCGAAATTCCTTGTTACACGTGGACTACCTTTTATAAGAACCCTTTCGAATATTTATTTTTCTCGAGGACGACAATGGACGAGACAAGGACAAAGAGAGAATAAATACCCAAAGCCTCGTTCACAATGAACGAATCCTTCTCTATTTTTACGAAATACAGCGAGAAGGGACACGAAAGCGTCTGATTTATCGTTACCTTGTACGGTATGCAAACACAATATAAAACTGTGACAATCAGCCTCAGTACTTGTACGCACTATGAATTATTCATTTTATAAAAGCAATTTTCAAACCCATACATAACAATCCTCGATGCACACATGTGATTTATACCATTCGCTTATTTGACGTTATTTAATCGAGTAAAAGATACGAGAAACCCTCTTTCATTTATCAAAAATCTAATTTCTGTCATTACCTAAGATACTAATCGAACGTCGAAATAAAATTCTTTGAAAATCGACAAATTCGTGTTTACTAGCTAATTATGAAAGCAAATCTTCCAACGAAGATGGTTGCTTAAGCCCCGATCCAAGAAGAGATTACACGAGGCAATAAAAATAACAGATAATTAAGAAGGTAATAAAAATAACGAGCAATTAACGACACGAATTATCGATAAAAATATAATATTAAAAAAGTCCGAATCTTCGAGTTCTAATAAATTTAAGTTCCTTCGACTTGGGGAATTTATCGATATAAAAATAGTCATCAGTCACATCGAAAAGACAATAAAAATGGCTATAAACAAACGTTTACCTATTCTAAAGAGCTTCAAAATCGACAGAAACCTTTGTTTTATCAAAGATCCACGAATTTTCAATCCTCCTCCTAAACTAAATATTAAAAGAATCTATAATACAATTTTTCGAATTCCCTTTTTATCAATTTTCCTACAAAATTCAATTTACGATTTAATTATTTGTTACACTATGGCTAATACTATAAAAATACAATATTAAAAAGACCGAATCTCCGAGATCTAATAAACCTAAGTTCCTTTGACTTGGGGAATTTATCGATACCAAAACAGTCATCAGTCACATCGAAAAGACAATAAAAATGACTATAAACAAACGTTTACCTATTCTAAAGAGCTTCAAAATCGACAGAAACCTTTGTTTTATCAAAGATCCCCGAATTTTTAATCCTCCTCCTAAACTAAATATTAAAAGAATTTTCGAATTCCCTTTTCATTAATTTTCCTAAAAAATTCAATTTTGTGATTTAATTATTTGTTACACTATAGATAATACTACAGGTAAATCTTTGTATAAAGGAATTCCTTTGAAATATAATGTTAGAACACTTTCCTACTTGACCCACTGTATACATCTATCGAATGAGCTACAGATTCTCGATGTTCAGGAAAAATCCAGACAACGGAAGAAAATAAAATACAGTGTTTATTTAAATCGAAGAATCTAGCTGATTTTCCACGAAATACCTCCGAAAGTTAAAGTCACGATGATTAGGTCATTAGGGCTCTGAGCACCTTGACTGGAGAGCATAGATCACGCTGGTTTTTCGCACGGAGAAAGAGACACGTTGGTCGTGCACCACAAAAACTAGCATATTGCCAAAGAGCGTCCTTGGTAAAACCTGAAATTGGGTAACCCGATGGAAAGGCGGCTCGCGAACGTGACAAAGAACGACTCGTGGTCATAACTCGCTGGGATCTACCGAATCGATCGTAGATCGGATCCACGTGTCGCGAAAATTCGAATAATCTCTCGCGTGTCTGTAAATTCGATTAAGTATAAGAAGTCTAACGATCCTAGTTGCTATACCGACCAGTGAAAGATCGAGGCGATGGGGAGGATATCGATCGGTTAGGTGGATCGGATGGAGGAAAAAGAAAGTTGTTAAAAATCGACAAAGGTCGTTATCGAAAGGTCCGAGTGTAGCATGTGGATCGTGTTGCTCGAGGGAAGAAGAAAGTTGCTCAATATTAGCGGACATCCTTTACTAAAAGTTTCTAATCAACAATGAGAAAGGTACCAGTTGAGCAGAGAAATGAAAGTTGGTGAAAATCGGTGTCGATTCTGGCAATAAAATTTAAACGCCACCATTGGCGGTGAGAACCAAACTGCCTGTGAGAATGAAAATAAAAGCTCTCAGGTATGACTACCATTAAAATCTCCGATTCGTCACGCGAATAGTCTTAAAAAAGAATCAAACGTTGATCAAGAACGATATTAATAAAGAATATCTAAGATATCCCCAGCAATGTGAACCCTGTTGCTTGTCAAGTGAAAGTAAAAGCTCGTGAATGTACTTAAAATTTCCTATCTAGACTTCCTGATTAATTATTTGGTTTAATTCGCTAAAAAAAAAAATTCTGGAAAAATTCTGAAAATATCGTTTATCACAACCTCAATGAAATTCAAATTGCCCCGTCAGCGACACGAACGATGCTTGTCAAAATTTCTCATACACTTTCAATTCAATTTTCTGTCAAATATAGTGTCCCAAAATTCACGCAGGATTTGAATTTTGCGTCATTTTTGCGGCAAAGTGACGACGGTGAAAGACAAAAGACAGCGTGACAGCTGACAGTTCAGGGTTATTAAAAATGAAGCTCGGCATGAAAGAAAAATGCATTTTCATTGTTGAACGATATTTAAAATTTCCAAACCTGTGTTTCCTATCCAAATTACTTCTTGCGTGAATTTTGGGACACCCTATAAAACCATGGATCATAAGAATTATTTTATTTGAAGAAGGAACACCTAACATGATTAAAAAGTAATAAAAACATCGCTTACTTTAATCCCAAAAGAATTCGAATACTTTTATGAACGATGTAAACAATATTGGTCAATAGAAAGAGAATTAAAAACTTCTGAATGAAAATGAAATATTTTATCGAAATTCTTCGATCGAGCATGATCCATCGATCGATCCATCTCGTTTGCAATAGAATCAGACGCGTATTCCCAGAAACTAACGAGAATACTAATTCCGTGAACGTCTATATTGTTGTCACTGCGTGTACACGTGTGTAAAACGTGAACTAAACGGTCGATAGGCAAGAAGGAGCACAAGAAGACATAGTTACTCGCATAATTTAATCGCGGAACGATAGTGATTCGAATAAACAGGAACTGGATGGTCATCGAGCGAAGAAAAAAGTAGGGAACATCTTCGAGGAGCATCCACGTAAATTGATATTTTCCTTTGTCACTGTCTATGTTTACCTTAAGCGACGTTTACATGCAAATCCTTACGTAATTTCGCGACACGCAGCTTCTCGCGGATTGGAAACGGTAACAGGTAGGTGATTGGAGGTAATGCAGGTTATGTAGGTTAGGTCCGTAACGGAGAGCCATCATGGCGCAATCAATTTTGCCGAATCGAACGACGGAGTCAAAGGGAAAGCTTGGGACGTCGTTTCGAAACGTGGAAGGTCTGGCTACGTAAGCGAGTGGTCGCGATTATCGCAAAACTGAAAATGCAAACCTCGCTTTCGCTGAGAAGCCACGCTTGCTTTCTCGCGGGCCGGTTTTGCCAAGGAAAATCCAAATTGCCTTTTGATTCGCGCTGCTTTCCAATCTCACTCGTCCTACCCTTGCCCAAACATTCGAATTCGCTTCCGACAACTTTCGATTTTAAGCACACTCGAGTTACGCGTTCGTTTGCATCCTCCAAACATGGAAAATTACCTTTTCATTAACATATCTCTAATTTTGAGAAATAATTTTGGAGAATTCCATTTAGGATAGAAATAACAGAAAGATACTACTTTCTAATTGGAAAAAGCGTCATTTTTTGAGGTTAGGTAACTTCGATGTGAATTAGTTTGGGAACTAATTTCGGAGAATTCCATTTAGGCAAGAGATAAGAAAAAGATATTACTTTCTAATTGGAAGAAGCGTCATTTTTTGAGGTTAGGTAACTTCGATGTGAATTAGTTTGGGAACTAATTTCGGGGAATTCCATTTAGGCAAGAGATAAGAAAAAGATATTACTTTCTAATTGGAAGAAGCGTCATTTTTTGAGGTTAGGTAACTTCGATGTGAAGCGGATATCGCTTTCTAATCGAGATAATCGTTATTTCTTGATTTTAGATAATTTTGATATCCCAAAAATATAGGAATCGATCAAAAAGTGTTAGAAGATACTTTGATCCAATAAATATATTATTACATAAAATGATTCTAACGAAGCTTCTTCGACTTTTACTCGTATCTAACTCTAATATCGATTGACGAAAAGAATCGTGAATGCTGCCCCAAATTGTACGAGAACAAACAAGCACACGAAAGTTATGGAAAGCTCTTTGCCTCCCTACTGACACAGTACCGGTACCTGGACAATAAGAAACAAAAATCAACATCACTTTCACTATCAACCTTGTTTTCACCGAAAGTACATCCATTTAACTCCTCTCCTGACGAACTTCAACCGACTCTTGGTCTCACGTTCTTTACAAAAATCCTCAGCAAAAGCGTAAATCAACCCGTTTATGACTAGAACCAGCCCCATAGATCTCCAAACCGATAAATATACCGATCAAAGCCCTGAGAAAATTCAATGAACTCGGTCACGATCCATTCTCGGGTCAGGTTCCTATGGAACTCTAAATTTCAAAGAGATGGAAGAACTCGCGAAATTCGAATCGGTAAAAAATGAAGATCCATGCAGATCATAGACACCCTTACCTTGGCGAACGGCGGCGAGAAGGCGATCCTAAGGACAGAGGTACGGAGGAATCGGGAAGAACGATCGACGACGACGACCAAGCACGACCGGTCACGGGAAGAGAAATGCAAGGTACTCGTGTGGCGAACCGAAGAGATGGAGAACGGTCGATGGAGTGGGAACGATTACCTCTTGGACCGGTTCTCCTTTATATCGTGTGATGCCCCACTCTCGCTTTTCTCTCCTCGAGTCACACGGAACCAAGGAAATCCGGACACAATCGACACTCGGATGCCCTGCAAGGTGGACACGTTTTTTGGAAACGTCTTCCACTGTTATTTTCACTTTTAATATTTTCTTTATGAGGCTTCCAATACGTCTTTCCCGTGTTTCTTATTTTCCTCCGTTAGTCCTTCTTTTTGGCTTCATTATGCACGGGTACTCGCGTTTTGCTTGCTTTCGGTCAACGCGTTCTTCGCGATTTCATTATTCCTAACGCGTGCTTAAATTTAAATATCGTAAACTAAATAGAGATATTCCTATCGATTTTGTATTTCTTAAGAAAATAAGAAAATTCCGAATCGATGTATTCTTCGCGATTTAATTACTCCTAACGCGTGCCTAAATTTAAATATCGAAAACTAAATAGAGATATTCCTATCGATTTTATATTTCTGAAGAAAATAAGAAAATTCCGAGTCGACGTGCTCTTCGTGATTTAATTACTATCAATTTAATCACGTGTGCTTGAATTTAGATATCGACTACGAAGACTAAATAAGAGACACTTCTATCGAAATAGAAAATCTGAATTTTCATATTTCTTATAAAAATAAAAAAATTCTAAACTTCTATGTTTCTTATGAAGATACAAAGATGTGAAATGAGAAATTTGTACATATCTGTATGCTAGTTCTAACATCGATGTGTGGGACACGTATTGCATGGAAGGGATTTTACGAACGAAATTAATAAATTACTGACTTTTGTCAATTATTGATGGAGACATTGAATTCTATATATGCGTAGGTGATGAAAGAAAATTATATAGAGAATGGCAGGTGGCTATAGGTAACGAATGCACTGTACTCGTAAGAGCACGTGCTTTTTCGCTAATGTATAGGGTGGAGATTAACGAACGAGACACGAAATAAATGACAAAGGCAAATGACGTTCACCGTATATACTGTCAAAACGACGAATGACCACGGTGAATGTAGTAAAATAAATTTTAATTGATATTATATAACGATATTTCTGCTTTACGTATACGTATATTTTTCTTCGATTTCCTGTGAATATTATATTTCTAAATATTTCTCCGTTAATTAATTTTCTTTACGCGGTAATTACGGCATCTAATTTTTCCATCATCTACACGGTGTATTATGTCACTTTTTTTTATAATAATTATCGTTTTATGCACTTCATCGGATAGTAAGCATTGCGTTCTTATCCGGTTTATTTTTGTACTCACGTGAAATATTACTTGCTTCGTTTCAAAATAAAAAGGTCTATCATATGAGGTAACGTAAGGCTTATTTCCTCAGAAGCAAGCAAATGATGTTTGAGCAATCACCTAAACGTTCGCTGTGATACCAAATGTACGATATGTAATTAAATCAGGTTTTTCTGGACCTAACAGTACTACAGGACAAGCTTATTTCAGGTTTTTTAACATTTTTCTGTATATCTATCTCGAAATCTTTTACTACGTACACGTTGAGCTAAATGAACTCGATTCTAAATACGCTCGATACTCGATTTACGAGTACAACAAATCACAAAAACGAGGTATAGTTGGTCACAAAAGTATTTGACCACGTTGAATATTCCAGATAATTTATGCGAAACTATCAATCGTTAAAACAAATGAAGAAATAACGCGAAATCTATTTTATAAATGTTTCTTATTCTACATAATAACAACAATTTGAAGATTAAGAAATAAAAACGATCCTACAGATTGAAATTATAAATTCAAACCGTAAAATGAAATTAATATTTTTTATTAAAATCGTTGCACCAAATTTAAAAAATAAAAGTGGTACAATTTTTTAAATATATTTTTAATGGAGGATTAATTTCATTTTACGGTTTGAATTTATAATTTCAATGTGTAGGATAGAGCTATTATAATTTTATAATTTAATTTTGATTTATAATTTTAATAAATGATACATATTAATATTTTTTATAAAAATCATTGCACTAAATTTGAAAAATAAAAGTTGTACAATTCTTTAAATATATTTTGAATGGAGGATTAATATGTATCATTTATTAAAATCATAAATCAAAATTAAATTATAAAATTATAAATGCTCTATGACTAACTGCATCACGATGCACCTCAAGAGAAGTTTGAAAATGTCATCAGATAAGAAAACAGAAACAACAAGTATGCTCACTAATAAAAACTGAAGTTTCTTTCATTATCATTTATGATTAATAGACCATAAGTGTCTACTATATCATACTTCTACTTATAAATATTCATTCTATTACTAACTGCACGTTAGAAGATGGATTTTGTCCTTAATAGCAGAAAAATGGTAATGACAATTACTACGTCTGTCTACGCTTTTCTTATACTTTGTCCTCGTGTAAAAACGATATGACATGTCTTTCATCTTTTCTTCCGTAATTATGATGACTAAATTTCGACCGAAGAAATGTTTGGCAACGATATTAGAAAGTAAAAGGGTAACTTGAACTGAATTTTGTACACAGGACATTCTTGTTGAAATCGATTTCGATTTTTAACGAAAATAAATTCCGAATAAATCCTAAAATGTGATTATTCATTTTAAGCACCAATTTCCTGTTTTTCACTGAAACAATTGGTCCTTAATTTCGAAATGAGAATTGAAAATTATAATCGTTTGCTACTTTCCTTCCACAACTATAGAAAATTCGTAGAAATTTCGTTTTCTACCTCCTCGAGTTAGAGGAGGTTAGTGATGCATAATTGCATCGTTATTTGTACTACGACAATGGAAATCACAATGGAACTGTGATTATTAAAATTATTGTCCCTTTTTATAATTATTATAACAAATCTAACATCGTATCATGTTAAGCAAAGGAATCATTTCTAAAAGAAGACTCTCAACCTAGTATACTATATCTAGTATAGTATACTATATCCCTATCTGAGGAGCAATTAGAAAAATGGGGATAAATTAAACAAAAAGCAAGCAACAAGTAGCATACTACTTCAAGAAATTTAACAAATTCTTCAACGCCTTTGACACGAAAAATAGTTCATTCATCGACTTTCATTTTCATAGAACATTTTATTACGTTTACATTTGAATTCGTCGATATTATCACTATGACGTAACGAAAGAACCGCGAATATCTGTACGTAAATAAAATTCGCCATGTGACACTTTTCGAATGAAGAATCTATCGAAGAATGTTTAAGAAAGACATGAAAATGAACGAGGACGAAGAACGAAAGTGAGATGTTTCGATAACTAGAAAAACAATAGAAAGCAATGGCAACGCACGAATTTTAGAAACTACTGAAATCGAAGAATTATGTAATTTAAGAGCAGGAAGTAACGTAGCTGTGTGTAGTGCACTGCTTTTCTTTTTTTTTTTCCTTTTTCTTTACACCGATAACCATCGGAAATGCTTTCCCTTCGAAATCCAGCAGAGCCATTACGTTACGTATAAATTTATGTGCGTTACTAGGTTAATTAGAAATTATTGTGGTAATCCACGAATTGTAAACGAGAACAGTCGGAATATATTTCAATTTCATGCAATTAGGTTATTGTGTCAATTATACCCGTTATTTAATTATCATCTTTGATTACGAGATTATAAAAATCATTGCACTAAATTTGAAAAATAAAAGTTGTACAATTCTTTAAATATATTTTGAATGGAGGATTAATATGTATCATTTATTAAAATCATAAATCAAAATTAAATTATAAAATTATAAATGCTCTATGACTAACTGCATCACGATGCACCTCAAGAGAAGTTTGAAAATGTCATCAGATAAGAAAACAGAAACAACAAGTATGCTCACTAATAAAAACTGAAGTTTCTTTCATTATCATTTATGATTAATAGACCATAAGTGTCTACTATATCATACTTCTACTTATAAATATTCATTCTATTACTAACTGCACGTTAGAAGATGGATTTTGTCCTTAATAGCAGAAAAATGGTAATGACAATTACTACGTCTGTCTACGCTTTTCTTATACTTTGTCCTCGTGTAAAAACGATATGACATGTCTTTCATCTTTTCTTCCGTAATTATGATGACTAAATTTCGACCGAAGAAATGTTTGGCAACGATATTAGAAAGTAAAAGGGTAACTTGAACTGAATTTTGTACACAGGACATCCTTGTTGAAATCGATTTCGATTTTTAACGAAAATAAATTCCGAATAAATCCTAAAATGTGATTATTCATTTTAAGCACCAATTTCCTGTTTTTCACTGAAACAATTGGTCCTTAATTTCGAAATGAGAATTGAAAATTATAATCGTTTGCTACTTTCCTTCCACAACTATAGAAAATTCGTAGAAATTTCGTTTTCTACCTCCTCGAGTTAGAGGAGGTTAGTGATGCATAATTGCATCGTTATTTGTACTACGACAATGGAAATCACAATGGAACTGTGATTATTAAAATTATTGTCCCTTTTTATAATTATTATAACAAATCTAACATCGTATCATGTTAAGCAAAGGAATCATTTCTAAAAGAAGACTCTCAACCTAGTATACTATATCTAGTATAGTATACTATATCCCTATCTGAGGAGCAATTAGAAAAATGGGGATAAATTAAACAAAAAGCAAGCAACAAGTAGCATACTACTTCAAGAAATTTAACAAATTCTTCAACGCCTTTGACACGAAAAATAGTTCATTCATCGACTTTCATTTTCATAGAACATTTTATTACGTTTACATTTGAATTCGTCGATATTATCACTATGACGTAACGAAAGAACCGCGAATATCTGTACGTAAATAAAATTCGCCATGTGACACTTTTCGAATGAAGAATCTATCGAAGAATGTTTAAGAAAGACATGAAAATGAACGAGGACGAAGAACGAAAGTGAGATGTTTCGATAACTAGAAAAACAATAGAAAGCAATGGCAACGCACGAATTTTAGAAACTACTGAAATCGAAGAATTATGTAATTTAAGAGCAGGAAGTAACGTAGCTGTGTGTAGTGCACTGCTTTTCTTTTTTTTTTTCCTTTTTCTTTACACCGATAACCATCGGAAATGCTTTCCCTTCGAAATCCAGCAGAGCCATTACGTTACGTATAAATTTATGTGCGTTACTAGGTTAATTAGAAATTATTGTGGTAATCCACGAATTGTAAACGAGAACAGTCGGAATATATTTCAATTTCATGCAATTAGGTTATTGTGTCAATTATACCCGTTATTTAATTATCATCTTTGATTACGAGGCACCGACTTCTCTGCTATCAATATAAATTCTTTCACTTTACTTTCACCTATGTACGCTTTAATAGCTAGCAATTATCGTTCGGTAATTATAGCAAAAACGACGCGTTATGAAATTTTTACCAATATCGATATCTATGACTTTGATCTCTCGTTTATCTTTACCCTGCATCTTATTTAACTTAGACGTTACTAAATTTTAATATTATCCTAAACGTTATAAAGCGCCGAACAGAGAGATATCTTTAGTGTTTTCTTTTATTCATCAGAGAAATTACAATTTTGACGGATACGTTACGAAAAGCAGAATTAATCCTAAATCCCGATTGCTATTTGCGTTTTCTATATTGTACCCCGAGATACTGTACGTTGACAAAGAGAGAAAAATTTGGGAGACGAAAGTCGATAAGGTTATCAGTATCGTGTGTTTCGCTCACGGAAAATTTCGAGCAATTTTCACGAAAGAAAATCAGAAGTTATCGATCGATTGCAAGATCAACGCGAGAGATTTCTTAAGCAGTAAGGGTGAATGCGCCAAGCATCGAGACAGCTATGCCAAATGTCGTGGTGAGTTTCTCCGCCATCTTGTAGTTCGCTGAGTTCACGTTTGCGGCCTTCGGCGACACATCTTTCTCGTCCTTTGCTTTTCTTTTTCCTTGCTCCTCTCCGTTCTTCTCGTTCTTCGTCGACACGTCCTTCTTCTCCTGCGAAAGAAAAATATCCTGGTTAATATAATTCGCCAATGCGAATTTTTGCAGAATTTTCCCCACGTTTGCATTACTACATGGCGAAAGAAAAAAGAAAAGGATGGCGCGTTAAATTTCCGATCTAATTGTGAAGTTTCAGACGTCATAAATTCTTAATAAAAGTGATAAAACTTCTTGTATGGAACGTGAATGGAATGCAGAAACGTTTGCATAAATTTGAATATATCTTGAATATTTAGCGAATTTAAAGGATGATAAAGTAACCGTATTATACCGATGATTTCTTATTCTATGAAACCTACAAAACAATTATAACGTGGAAGGGTAAATTCTGAATGAATTATGCATAGAATTATGAATACCTTTGTATTCAAAGGGGCGACATCTTTAACCTCGTCCTGTCCACAGGAAAAGTAAAATATTAGTAGATGAAACAGCGGTAGCTGAAGCAACTTGAATAACGATTATACTTATTAACATTCGCATGACAATTATAGTAATTATCTACGACAATGAAGAGTACTAAAAATATCATTTATGTAATAACCTCTCGACGCTTTTAACTGATCTGGTTAATTAAAATATCAACAAGGGTAATACCTAGCAGATGAAATAATTTAAATAACAATTATTCGCCGATTCGAACTTTCGGAATTATTATTCGAGCTTCGCGAGCTTTTAATTGAAAAAGAAATACAAAATACGAAAAAATAAAATACCAAGTAGACGAAATAATTTAAATAACAATTATTCGATGATTCAGACTTTCGAAATTATTATTCGTGCTTTACATGCGTTTAATTGAAAAAGAATCCATGCAAGAAATACAAAACACTTCGTAAAGTTGTATTGTAAAAATATACTATCGGATCGATCAAAATTTACGTGTACCTCTATGATATTTTTAATTGTCTCCATTAATCAACACGGCGATCGCAACTGCACGTAAAAATTTCGTTTTCAAAGCGATTTCTAGCTATGCCAGAAGCATGGACGTCGTTAAAGAAATTATGTAAGATATCAGGCTTTATCGGCTTGTATCGCAGCCGATAATAAAAGAAAATTAATATAACGCTACGTGCGTGAGTCATCAACGCCTGACGCACCAGTGAAAGTGCTTATTTTCCTTTCGTAAGTTGTTTAATTCACAAAGTAACACACTCGACAGTTTGTTATTTGTAAGGACTGAAGGATGTCTCACCTGAGCAGCCGGAACCTCGGGCACCTTTTCGTCATCCTGCATCGAAATGTTTATATTATTGCAAATTAAATTGCATACGAATATCGCAATCTTATAAATATATAATTACTATCCTACATCCGAATTTATTTAACCTGTTTTTTCAGGAGAATCAGCTAATTCGTCGTTCTCCTTGCAAATAATTTAATAAATTATTGATTCAGGAAAATCGTTCGAATAGCCGGTTTGTCATTTTCCCTATTTCCTATTCTTTTTAACGAAATCCATGTATTTAACACCCGTTATTATTAATTTTTAATTAAAATAGAAATTTTTTACTAAAAAGTCAATTACGAGACTACATTATACGAATCGAGGTAATAAATTGAAATGATGAATGAAAATTCGTTTACATAAAGCAGAAATAATTCTCCATACTCGAGTTTCGGGCATTAAGTCTCGTTTCCACCGTGTTTACACCTGCCTTGCATAATCAATGTCGTGCGGCACGATTTTACGAATTAATTAAACTTCTATATAATTATTAAGAACCACGAATCTAGAGCAAGTGAAAAATAAAACCCTGTGATCACAATATAGTCTAATATTTGCATGAATCGCGTTCATTTGCAATTACAATTGCAGGCGCTACAGTCGCGCCATAACGAATTACCCTGTTTCGTAAGTCACCGATTTAATTCAGTCGTATCTTTTATAATTATATACGTTCCATCTACATTTTATTCGAATTCTACTTGTTTGTCACAGCCAGGATAAAATTTATGAAAAGGAGGAGCTCGTAATTCGAAATGTACGTATAGAGGTTAAAATCGCCTTGAAATAAGAGTACGCCATTTTGAAAAGTAATATCAGTGCGTTAAAAGCATCTGGTAGTCTGATAAAATTTGATCGATGAAATTTGGTATTTGTTTATAGAATTATGATGAAGAATAGAACTTTGTGGGACAGTATGACAATCATTCGTGAAATAATTATATCGAAGATCGAAAGATCGTAATCTGGAGTCATTCATGGATTCGTAACAGTATCTTTACATACTGTTACATATCGATTCGTGAATGTCTGCAGAATGTATGCTAGAAACATCGTCGAATTCATCTTATACCCATAAAAGTCACGATTAATTTCACGCTGCCTCGTTCGCGTTGTATCAAAACCATAAATTTGAATTACACGAACCCGAGTGTCCACGTGAAACCGATTCTATAAAAATACTACACCTATGTTCACAAACTAAACTAAAACATCGATCGAGAATTTTAGAATTTCAATTGAAAAGTGAAACATAGGAAGAAATTTCAAAAAACAGGTTTTCTTGAGTGACCAAGGAGACCTAACCTAATTCTAGGTTAGGATTGGGTTATTACTGATAAAAAGTTATAAAAAAATACATAGGCTTCGTGCAAAAATACTATACATTCAAAATGGCTGTCATGTTGCATAAAATAATTTTACGATGCAATTTAATTTTTAAATAATTAGAGCTTAGAGTGATTGCACGTTTCAGTGAACTAACGAACTAACTTAACCTAACCTAACCTTTTCTTTTGCATGTTCAATGCGAGACTGAAACAGCGACTTCCTGTTATTCGTCGAATTCATTTTTGAGCAAGGAAATAAATAAAATAAGAAACAAGATTTAATCAATTAATTAAGAAATAAAATAAAATTGTATGAAACGATGCATCAAGGTTGTAATGATGAAAATTTATTTCCCTGCTTCTGTTTGTCCTACAAAGAATTCTATTCTGCAAGAATTATTCCCGAATATAGGAGGAAACTTTAATTTCGAAGAATCCAAGTCGCCAGTTGACGTAGATTTTTGTTCCAACTATCGTGAGTACTACTACCACACTATTTCTCAGGTTCAATGTCTAGGTCACTATCGAAGAACGCTATTTATACTCGTAGGTGGTTTGTATCAAGTATTCTTGGACAGTTTGAAACTGTCGTCATACCAGTGAATTCGATTCTAACTTTCACCCAACGTTTCACCTCGGTCTCTATCATTCATTTATTATTACTATCTTTATCCTTCATTTATGATAAACGATTGTCATTGCGACTAATCGAGCTACTCGTTACTGCACTCGAATCATTTTCATCTTTATATCGGTATTTATTATTATCCTTGGTCTTGATAAACTGACGAGAAATCAAAATGTTTGGTATACCAGGAACTCATGCACAAATGAAATTGGCTTGCGCATTTGTATCAAATAAAACTAGCTTGCAAATTTCTATAAAGACAAAGCTAAGCCTAGATTTTGAATTTCCATAAAAATAAAGCTAAATTCTAAATTTTCGCAAAGATAAGTCTAGGTTCTGAATTTTCACAAAAAGAAAACTAGGTGGTGCAATAATTTTACTCCAAGGTTCTTTTCATACTAATACACGTCAGATCTACCTACGGATCGTCGCAAACCTAAGCACTCAAAAACATCAGTACTCTAATAGTCGTTAATTGGAATAAAAATAAAAGCAAATTGTAAATTCCCTTGAAAAGCTTCCCTAATTTTACTCCAAACAACTCTCTCAAAAGTAGAAATCAATTGACTTACCGAATTTTTAGCAGTATCCCGCGATGATCTTCTCAAAAGTGTGATGCTGTGAGGATCGTCCTTCGACTGAGTAATCAAAGGCGGGAAAACGTGTCGTCGAGCCCTGCAGTTCGCGTCTTGACAACCACTTGCGATGACTTGCCTGATGACATTCGGAACATCCCAAATCATCGTCGTCTCGTGAAGCATTCTAGCTGAGGGTCCTTGGGCGAAGAATGGCACGGGTTTGTCGTCGTGTGAGCAGGTTATGATCACCACCAAGAGCGTACCCTGCGACATCTTCAATTACAACGTTGATTAATAAAACGATTAATCATTTTAAAAAATCTTGAAAAAATTATATAAAAATTATGTTTACAAAATTTGAGAATTTCGAGATGAATACTTGGACAGGTAAATCAAGTGATTCCCGTGAGTACCGATAATCATATACACGAATCATGAAATTAAGAAAACAGTTATCTGATTCGACGTGAAACAAATTTGAATGATGCAAATGAACCGATTTACCGGTATAATATTGCAAGATGATTGTTAGAATGCAAAACAAAGGAATTAATCTCGTATGGAGATTACCGGAATGTACCGGTGAATTAAATTACACGAATTAGAAACGTTAATGCGAAATTTGAAAATAATTACTTCGCGCTGTAGGAGCTCGAAGGCTGAATTAAGTTCGCTGGTAGGCACCATGGCGACCAGGATAAAACCTTTCTCGTTTTCAACGGACTTCAGTTCCGTCATCATATCCACCAAATTAGATCGAAGAAGATGCGATTTGCGAGAGGGAATAGGATCCTCTGTAGCAGCGACATTTCCACTGAGAGACTCCAGTAACGACCGGAACAGGACGAGCCGGATTTTGGAGAACATATTGAACACGTTCCACGCAGCTTCATCTGTTTAAATGAGATTTTTTCTCATTACTACAATAAAATTATTTCCTAATAATTATAACTTTTCAATGTTTAATCCACTACAGACTTTTCAGCATCGACAATGAATTTTATTGTATTATGAAAAAGGAAGAATTTATTTACAATGATGATAAAATTAAAGTAAAATTAACGAGTGTAAAATTTTGAGGCGAATTTCGAACATATCGAGGAAAATATAGAAAAGAGAAATTAATTTTGTTTTCACACCCAGTTTGTAGATACTCGTGAAGATATCGAGTATGTTGGACTAAACATTGAAAAGTACTGCTATTATATATCCAGAAGATTAACATCGCGTTAATTGTTATAATAAAATAAATATAACACGTACGAGTTAATGAGAAGAAAATAAATAAGGCTTCTAAAAATTGAAAGGCTTATTCGATGTTTTATTAGATACTGCATATTTCTAATGCAAAAGGACTCACCGTCTTCTTGAATATTTGATGCAGGCATCAAGGAAGGAGCATGACCGGTAGGTTTTGCCAAGTCGATCACATGCCAGTCGCTATAAATTTCCGGCTTGGGCTTATGGACTTCCAGTTTCATGTTGTTCTCGTCCATATCCTCGAATTCCTTTGCAAGTCCTACTGATTCCTCGAATCCAAACAACGACGGAATGGTGAAGTTCGTGTTGGATAACGTCCCTAATCAGAAGAATGTTATATAACAAAACCATATCGAATATTGTATAAATAAAAATAAATTATAATACGAGATTATATAATAATTCGTTTGCAAATATTATGTAAATATACAGAATTTAATAGATAAATATTTAAAATTGTAATTATAATTCTCGTAATATAGCTAAATTATGTCGAATACTGTATAAGTACAAATTACAATACGAAATTATAAATTGTAACTTTATTACTATACCTATAGACATCCCTTTAACATCTCGAGCCCAAAGCAACAGACTTGCAATGTTCGAACGTAGAAAGTGCTCGCATTCGCGTTTCTTGTCCTTACTACCGGAAGTGAACGCAGAGTCCAAGGAGAACCGTGACTTCTCTGCTGCTCCATTGTCACAACCCTAAAACAAATTTCAATTACACAAGTAAGTTTACGTATAACAAAACACGACAAATTTTTATCGCATGATTTATTCGTCGTAACGTATAATAATATTAACATTGGATTCATTTGCGTTACTTTTACCACGTTACGTTACTTCACACTTTTACCAATTATAGTTATTTTACGTCCGAGAACGAATATTAAGGTTAGAATGTTGATACGAATTCTCTTGATTGCACTTTTATCTTTGGGCAGGAGTGGTGAGAAACAAAAGACTCCTCGTGTGTTCCATCGGGGTCCACAGGAGCAAAGTCACGGACTCGAGTGGTCTAGCAATCCAAGATGGATGCTCGTTCCAGACGCCACCACGTGACCGCAACAGACATCGCAGCCAGGTAAATTCGAGGGTAATTGAATCAATGTTTCCATTTTAATAATTTATTTGTTTGAAAATCTTCGTGGCAGAGTCTTTTTCTGTCCTCACTGTGCGTTCGTGCCATCGTTTGGAAGTTTCCAGCTTCCGCGCACCACTCGACGCAAAGGACACAGCGCAAACATAACCTCCGTTCTTCTCGCTATGGGTCCTCGCCCTCGACTGGTTCGCACCAGCCTCTTTCACACGCCATTAGGCACATAGGACGCACTACGTAGACGTAGCGACACGACCGAGCATAGAAGAAGTAAACAGAGGCGTTGACTCTGGATTTTGAGACGACGAAATTCCGATAGACCGATCGTCTGTGTTAGGTCATTAACCTATTCTATTCTGCGAACCTTGCGATAATATAAATGTTGTAATTTCTTGCATTGAAATTACAGAGTTTATTATAATTCGTAGGCAATTAACCGTATACAGTTATACAGAGAACGATATATAAAGTTTATTATTAATGAAATGTACAAGAAAAGGAGAAAAATTAGGCAAAAATAGGAAACCATACCTGAAGCGTCCCAACAACATGGAACAGATGGGAAGCCTTGAAATTCTTCCAGAAATCTTTCTGATCCTGGCCTGCTTCTGCGATTATCATGATAACGTTCTTCGGAACAGAACTGACGAGCTCAACAGCCACTGGAGAACGCGTGTCCTTGTCAGTGTTCTCCATCGTGAAGTCGAACCTTTTCTCACGCGTCACGTCAGCAGGACTCGTTTGTTCAACGGTTTTCGTCGACATTTTCGTGTCCGAGACTTGCAAGGCCTTGTCGATCACGGTCACGTCCGATTTCGAACTGGAGGAATGATCCACGGTGATCTTCTGCTCGGTTTCCAACGACGGCACTATATTCCAGGGCCCTGGAACGTTCGCTTCGAGAAAATCATGATTTAACATACTTCAAAGCTACATTAGGGACTTTTCCAAAGAAATTGACACTGTTTCTCATAATTTATAACACGCTTAAATAAATCACAAGAGCTCGTATCAATCAAATGTTTGCTTTTCCTTAGTCCTCTTCTATTTAACTCTTTGGAGCACGCTGGGATTAAAAGTGTCCCACCCTTTTGATGCACCGTGATGCATGGTGAGGCATTTTCACTTCCACCTCGAAATATTGCATGCGCATAGGCTTATATTATGTTTTTACATTATGCCATTCCTTTATTAGTAAAAATATACCAATTTTGTTCCATTTAAAACGCAATCAAATTTCTATGCAACGTGGTTCTATTTTATTATCAGAAATCCTGTGCCGCGAAGAGTTAAACGCGTCAAACTGTCCTGCCCCCTTAGTAATCATCTGTGAGAATATTTTTCATATTACCTGAGCGTTCCGGATTAAATCCAGAGCACAATGGCGTTATCGACATCGCTGCAGCCAACACAGCCATTAATAGATGTTCTCGCGACATCTTGCTTCCTGCAATAACAAAATTAGTCTCGGTTAATGAAAGCGACAATTTTCGGCAGGAAATGGTTGAGAACTGCAAACTTTACCGTGCTTCGTAGAATCTCAGTAGGAGATACTTCCACCTGGAACAGGAAGACCCAACGAGCTCAAGCGTTCGATGTATTTCAAGATTCCAAAACATAAACTGTATATTCAGTGGAAAATCCGCAAACGACAAACACGTCCGATCACTTCGACTGAAATGAGGCGTCTATGGATGCGTAATCGACAAAACACGGTTATCGAGAGAATAAAAGAATATTCGTTTTCGATGGAGACCTTTGTTTTCCAAGGCATTTCATGCTACTCTCGTATAGTTAACCGCTTGAACTCGAGCTGTGACTCGTCATTTGTTTTAATAGATATAAATAATTAGAATGAACTATACGTAACGAAATATTGAAATAGAAATGCACGTGATTTTCCTTTTTTATTTTACCCTAAATGGTATCACCGAATTTCGGAAAAATATAAGAAAAGCTTGGAATTGTTATATCTCATGGAGAACAAATTTTCGAATGCAAAGGGTTTATATTTATTGTTACATATATACGTACCATGGTTTCTTTTAGCTTATGGACCCTTCGCATGCTGCAAAAATTTGAATTTATAAAAGTACACATATATTTGCGTTACAGTTTTATTTATTTATGTAAATTAATTGGTAAATACTCGATAGAAGTATTATTGGATAATTTCAAAAATTCGATGCTGGAGGACTAAATAAAAATAGCTCTGATTGAAAAAGCTTGGTGTATAGTAATTATTATAGTAATACTGCTACGATGATATTAGCAATAAATTATTCATAAGCATTGTTGCTTAATGTCACCTATTTTTACCTTCTACATTTTCGACCATGATATTTATTACTTTTCGATATTTTATGCTATAGAATTTTTAATATCCAACTAAGAGTATAATAAGTTATGATAAATAAATTTGTAAGACTTAAATTTCAGTGTAATATATAGATTACGGAATTAGAAATTTAATTGACGAAGCAAGAAAAGCAGAATGTTATATACTTTCGTAGAAATATTTTTAGTACCTTTTTAACGTGACATTTCTAAGTAATTTTCGTCAAACGAATTGACCTAATCGGAAATGGCACTTGGCTTTCAGCATTGATGTCTCTGGAATTTCTTCGTTTTGCTTCTCCACAAAGGAAAATTATTCGTGGGAAAATATATTTCACGTATTTCTGAACGATTTGTATCACTAACAGCTTGCAGAAACAATCTCTGATAAAAATTCATTTTCTTCCTCAAACGAAATGGGGTGTTAGACGTGACAGCAGGCTGTAATTTTCCAATCACAGTCTTACATAAACCGTAGTTACTTCTGTGAAAGAAACTCGACGAATGGATGATCCTGTTTCTTTGTTCTTCTTCGAGAATACTTTGCAAGAAGGTATTTTAATTAATCATAGATTCGGTACCACGATTTTTCTGTCATCACTCCAATGATGTCAAGGTTGTTTAAAGTAACCTCGATAATAAGCATATACGAACATCTATAACATAGCCTAGATAGCAGCACCTGGGATTAATAATTATAGAAAGGTACCTCACGCCATAAAATGTCTGTGCAAATAACGGATGAAGAAAATAGGAACATGATCTCGTAATCATAATTATAGACTGAGATTAAAATGAATTCATACGTAGGTCAACGTGACAATATCGATAACTGTAAATTATATTTATTTCTTAAATATATAAAGAAATACTGTAATAAAAGGTATCTTATTTCCAGTATTTTTTGATTTGCTAATAAATTCAATTATCGATAATAAATTTAAATTATTATACTATATCTGCGTTCTATCTCAAAGATAGAAATAAATTCAAGATGAAAAACAAATCGAAATTCGTATGGAGATAGGGTACAGTAAAATTTAGATAAAACAGCTGCGATTTATTGGTTGACCTAAGTTACTGTAATGCTTGCCGGGTTGCATACTGACTTAAAATGAGGGTTGAAAACTAAATTACTGACAGACATATGTGTATGTACGTAATCATACTCCTCCATTATTTAACACAGCAGTCTTTACATTAACAATGTTTAAACAATAACTGAGCTAATAATCGAGCTTATTGAGAAAATATTTCTTCACTGGAATATAACAATCGGATTATTCGAAGAATATTATTATTTAATGATCATTATTTAAATGTATCATATAAATACACTTTTATTATAATCGATATTAAAATTGGATCATTTTTGCAGAAATTCTGTTTTTATATTTCTGATATATTCATTTCTCTTCTAAATTATTGGAAAGTATACAACAGTGAAACTTTCAAGGAAACTCCACATATTACCTTCATTGTTTACCAAATAAGCTATACTCCATTCTAAGTTAATTTTGTTTAGTTACAACTTCGTGAACTATAATATATCAAATATTTATATTACGATTTACGTACCTACCACTAATCTTCAGAATTTCGAAAATACCTCGGAATTAACAGGTCAAAGGATTTAAGAAACGATGACGTATATTTAATTTAAAAACAAGCTTTCATAGATCGAAATTCAAAAGAACAAGAAATTAAATACCGAATGAAATTGAAATAATCTGAATAACGAACAGTCGTAATGTCTTGTCAATATTACTACTGCGCATGTTGTCAGAGGAATTTGTTCTGTGTCGATAAAATAAACAGGGTATCCGTGGACTATAGCAAGAATTGCTTCATGTTCTTCATCGAACCATGCTTTCTTTACAATATAACATTTCACCCAGCTGTTGTTCTTACAACACTTTCAATCCGAAAAAATAAAACTTCTAAAGAAATTTTATTCGAAAACATACAAATATCAAAGGTAAATCATAAACATGATCGGTGCTAACCTATCCAGTCTTCAAAGACTAACTATAACATCACACGTATAACGGTCAATTAACAACGATGCATGCAATTAATTATTACTGCCTCGAATATCTTTATTCCTCAAGTGCTACAACTTTTCATTTCCCATAAAAATACACACATATATATGTGTATATTCTACACGCAAACAAATAAAATTTGGTAGTTTATTCCCTAATCAACTGTTCTAATCCTCCGCCATAAGACTCTCAATGCCACCCCAATAAGGCCTCAAAGGACATCTGAATAAAAATCCATGTAATCTACGAGGGACCAACAACCGAAGCCCTTTGCTCAAGAAGTGAATTCTCGATCGATGGAAGGAATGGATAAAAATCTGCGAAGCGAGGAAGAAGCATTTCCGCGGTAAATCCGCAAGAATCGGAGCTACGCGTGGCAAAGTTTCTAGAATAAGCGTGTTCGAGACCTTCTTATCGGTCGTGGCGCACTTCCATCCATCCCCACCGTAGTTTCCCGGCCGGTGGTGGTTGCCAGTCGTCGAAATCTGAATAATTTATGCGATTAGGAAGCTCCGTGTCGACGGTAGAAGAAACAATATGGCCACTGGCGAGCCGGCAGCAACGGACGTCTGCGCCTAGGGCACCCTGACGGCTATTGGTCCACGTTTGGTGCCCCGTACAGCTGGAGGGGTTTCACCGGGGCGACAGGTGGCGGTAGCCAGGGGGTGGGAAGAAAAGAAGAAACGAAGAGGAACCCCTTGCTTGGGTAACGACGATCCATCGTTCCTCGTTCGTGTCTCAGTTTTCCTCGATACACGCGTGCCCCAGGCTGCACGCAGCGCGATTCTCTCGGCGGACTCGCGAGGAGTTCGCGTTCTCATCGTCCATCTGAACCTCGTAGCCACGTACCCGCCTCAAGGTGAGAGAACATGTCGAGGGTTGATCCTATACATCGAATCGATGTTCCCGGGATGCTCCTGGGATCGTGACTGGATCTAGCAGCGATGTAGACAAGCTTTTCGAGTACTCGTGCATTATGCATGTTTGAAGAAGGGTGGCTCTAGGGTTCTTCCTCCCGTGTTCCAACGTGACTGCATCGTGACTCGATCGAGGAGTGAATATCGGTTCAGGTTTTTAAATATTTTCTGCTCCCTCGAGGAATCACCGAGTGATCTAGGCGCGACAGGTAAGACGTGAGGGATAGTAAGTCGATGCTGGGTCTGGTACTCGATGCTAGTGGGCCGTTCATTGCTTGGGATCCAGTTCAAAGATGATGCAAAGGTAACGTTGAGATATCGAGGAACCCGAATAAGGTGAAAAATCGAGTGGTTGATGGTGATCATGTATCGAATTTTCTGAGGTATTTAGCGATATTAGTGGTGTGTCCTGTGTCTCGTAGTCGAGTTTTGCACTAGTTGAGAAAGGAAGATAACTTTTTGGAAATTTTGACGCTTATATATATTCAAGAACGTTGAATCTTTCTCGTGAAAATAGAAATCTTCGTTCTATCATAGATACATTTCTTCTAAAAGGATCAATGGCACCTAGTGACGATATATATTATTATAAGATTATTTAATGATGAAAATGAAAATTAATTTGTATGAAATATATAAGTACTGATTGATTAATGTGTAAATATTTATACCTGCCACACAATTCTTTCATGTATGCGAAACTTGTAAAGTGTCGTTCATGATCCAGGCACAATAGATCTCGTTCTTGTTGCGTGTGGCGTCAAAGTACTTCATATTATTTGTGACTTCGGTTATGGTACTTGTGGTCCCTAAAAATAAGTGGCATCGTTAGTGGAAGCATAGTAATTTGCGGTCTTTCTACTTGTCACGCAAAAATTCGTACATTTTAACATAGAAACAAGGAGGGGTCTCACGATATAATTTGCAGTTGTTATTAAAGCGACGAATCTTATTTGCTGTAATTTTCAATTATAACATTTTTTTATATATTATCCAAATTCGCGAATAATAATATTAATTTATAAAACACAGGGATATTAGATATTCAATACTTAATTCTAAATATTTGTCTCATATATGATATATGAAATTTCTATGTTATGATCGAGTCACGAACTAAATTAATTTGATTTTTCAAGAATATCTTTGAACATCACGAGTCTCTAAAAAACTTTTCAGCTATGTTGACATACCATACCAGCTTTTACACCAGTTTTCTATCATTCGCTCATCCTATCATTACTACTTTCAAGAACACTTTAATGTTTCTATATCATGCCAACTATGGATTACAAACGTGAAAGTTGCATCTTTGACCAAGACCTGTGGGTCATTTGAAATCTAATACTACGCTCAATCCCACCATTTCACACCGTACAGTGGGTCACGAGATAGAATTTCTCCAGCCATTTATCTTCGTACCATCGAACCTGCCAACACCTGAAACAATTCGAATATACTTTACGTTTGTAAAAATATTTGTTTCAACTTAAAGGAGGAATTTTTATTTTATTTTTCGAATTCGATTTATCGTACTCCGTTAATGCTCACAGGGGAATTATGAATATACGTTACGAGCTACGAAAGCTATTTGCAATGCGATGACAGATATGAAATTAAACATGACGTCCGTTAATTATGCCTCAAGGCCACAAACTACGATACATGCATGGGCTATTAAATAATGCATGTACGACCCTCTTGAATGCACTCATTATTGGAAAACCAGAAATTATATGTACATTTAACGTACAATATTATCCTCGCTGTCAAACGTTTGAATTGATTAAAAAGTACGTATACATATGTACGCACTGTGTATACATATACCTATGCACTCTACATCAATATCTCCATGTATACGACATATAATTACACAAAGTTTTTAGGAGTACGTAAGGAAGTTTAAATGAATAAGTATTGAAAATTTCATACCCGGTGACCTCTAAACAATGAATAGTAATAATGACTCAAAGTTTCTGCTTTGACTTTAGCTTAACGACAAATGTCTCGATGCACCAAAGTGCACCAACTTTTAATCAATTTAGTTGCGAATTACACGTTCGAATTGATATACTCGTATTTCTTAACAATTCGATTTTTATGCGTTTATAATGAAAAGGAAAATATCTTGCCTCTGTTGTTATTTATATTATATTTATATTATATTTATATTATATTCTTATGACATGGAAGTTTCGAGATAGAAATCGAAACAAAGTATAGTTATCGATTTTTCTACGTCGTATAATTGTAACGAAATATAAATAAATTCTTTCGAATTCTTTCCCTCAGATGATGAAGTTCAAGCAACAGGGCCTAGTGGCGGACTTGCTGCCCAATATAAAGCTAATGAAAGCTACTGGGCACTTCTTGTTCAATTACTACACCGACAGCTCTACGAAGCACATACATAAAATCTACTGTATCGTATGTAAACTAAATACCATTTCTAAAGTACCATAGAAATATAAATATCTATTTTAAAAACAGATCTAAGGTACCTCTATTTAACCCCTTAAAAACCGAATTATTTTTCAAAAATCAAAGATACCCGAATTTTTTACTATCGATTCAGTAAATGATCGCAATAACGAATCTCGATCAAAATGATAACAAAAATTGCAACTGCAGTCCACGATTTATTTTTCGAATTTCTAAATCTTTTTCTTTTAAATATTTTAAAATACAAGTGAGTACATTATTTATACGTATATGTGACGAAATTTTTAAAAAAATATTTTTAAATAAAAGCGCATTATTTATACGTATATGCGAAATTACATTAACACGAGTACAGTTATTAAGAGGTTAAAGTAATCCTTCCAAAATGTTGAAAAACGAGGAGAAGAGGGAAAAAGTAGAAGAAACTGGAATAAGAAGGGAATAAATAAAAATTGCTGGATCGATTAGGTGCACCTGATCCTGGTCCTTATGCAGTTCGGATTCTGTGGAATAAATCTAATGCTGGAGAGCGACGACGTGGACGACCTCACAGCTAACACGATCACTATGCTGTTCTTTACGCACTGCGTGGTGAAACTTATTTACTTCGCGGTCAGGAGCAAACTGTTCTACAGAACGCTCGGTGTCTGGAACAATCCGAACAGCCACCCTTTGTTCGCCGAGAGTAACGCGCGTTACCACCAGAAAGCCATAAAGAAAATGAGGATACTCCTGCTGATAGTCATGGTAATCACGGTATTGTCCGCCATTTCTTGGACCACCATTACCTTCATCGGTGATTCCGTGAAAAAAGTCATCGATCCTGTTACCAATGAATCCACCTACGTCGAGGTAATGTGATTATTTATTTAGCAACAACGCTTTCTTTCTCTGCCCACGTAACTGAAAAATAGGCTATAAGATAATTAATTAGTATACAGTCGAGTTTTGAAATTTCTCCCATGGATGTGAGCTTCGATAATTGAACAGCGAAAGATAAACCACGTTAATTAACATAAAATCAAGTTTCCAAATTTATTTAACACTAGAACTACCGATTTTTAATGCGTACCGAACTATAACGTGCACAGATTATAGTAATTTCAGCGATACGATGAATACGAGTGAATATATTGATTACAGTCCTTTCTTAATACGAGTTGATACCAATTTTATTCTTAAAGCAGGTGTACGTGTTCGGTGATTGCAGAAAGGAAAATTCTGGGACCAGTCATTTAGACTGGGTTGGTAGTTCTAGTGTTAATGGGTGTGATAATAATATTGGTAATAGAAGAATGAGGATGGTTACCTGAATATTGCTAAAAGATTGGATACTGATAACTTGACGATAACTATCTTGGTTAGGATATGCGAAAGCTTGCCTGAGTGATAAAATTGGTAAAAATCTGATCGCGAGTACGTGCTTTTGTCTAGATACCAAGGTTGATGGTACGTTCTTGGTACCCATACGACCCCAGCCACGGGATGGCACACATCTTCACGCTGATACTGCAATTCTACTGGCTGATATTTTGCATGGCAGACGCGAATCTTCTCGACGTGTTGTTCTGCTCCTGGCTCGTCTTCGCTTGCGAACAAATCCAGCATCTGAAGAACATCATGAAGCCTCTGATGGAGTTCAGCGCCACTCTGGACACCGTTGTGCCAAACAGTGGAGAATTGTTTAAGGTAAGCTAGTAGACAATTGACATGTCTGTTAAGAAAACAGTAGAAAGAACAAACATTAGGAAAATCTGAAAATTGAATTTTTTATTGAAATATTGGTTTTCATAATTCACATTACAAACCTGTCACCTTTAAACTATACATGGTGTTACGTAAATGGGTACAATGTAGCTTAAGAAACCTGCAAACATAGCAATTGCAGTGAATATTATAAAATGAAAAATGGTTTTAATTTAATTAAATTTAACGGAATTGTTAATAATTAATAAATAATAATTTAATAATTAAATTTAACACCGTAATATTGAGTTAAGGTCTCCTGTACCTGAGGTATTAATTTGTTGGCCTTCCAGGCTGGTACCCCAGAACATCCAAGAGATCCAGATCCACTACCCCTATCCACTCCACCACAAGGCGAAAACATGTTAGATATGGACCTTCGAGGAATATACAGCAACAGAACTGACTTTACGACTACCTTCCGGCCAACTGCCGGGATGACTTTCAATGGTGGTGTGGGACCAAACGGGCTGACGAAGAAACAGGAAATGCTGGTTCGAAGCGCCATCAAATACTGGGTAGAAAGGCACAAGCACATTGTCAGGTAAGTATCTTCCATTTTTATCACCAGTATCATCATTCTTCCTGCAAAATATCAATATTCGTCCTAATTTTTCATTTCTCCTACAAACTATACTGACACGATTAATAGAAAACAAAGAATCCTTCTTTTATCATGCACGTGATTATTAACCCTTTGCACTCGGCGATCTTTTCGTTGCAGGAAAAGATTTCTGCAAACTTTTCTGCCATAAAATCGACGATATTTCTAAAACGGTAAATAAGAAATCGTATGCAGATTAAGACGTAGAATTATTTTACCTCGATATTCCAAGCATCGTTGAGTAATTGTGAATTTGATATATTAATTGACATCCATCTTTAGAATCTGATTAAATGGCGACTGAGAGGCACCCCTCGAGTGCAAAGGGTTAAAAATAGAAAAATAAAATATAGAAGCATAGGAAAGGGTCGAAATTTTTCTTAATACATATTGTAGGATACTACTTCAGGAAATAAATCGCGAATCGGCCAATACCGATTCAGGATTTCTTATTTTAGAAAAACAAATTATAAACCGGTCGATGACCTATGCGCGACGTTTTTTTAGAAGCAAATCGAAACCGATACCGTTATGAAAGAAAGAAAATACTATTTCTGGTAACAAAGCTAAGTTGCATGATCTCTGTGGGGAGGTGAAACGCAGGTCAACGAAATCGTAACCGTCGCGGGGAGTGACGTGCTTTTCATGGGAGCAAATCGCTAATGGGCTGAATCATATCAGCGAATTAGCGATTGGAAAAAGCACAAAAACAGGACTATCAACGACACGGGGTGAGTCCTGAGTGTAGAAGCGTTGAAGAGTCCTCGTAGAAATAGATTGAGACCAGCAGGGGCGTGAGTCGTTCGGTGTTGAAGAGACTCGAATTAGACCGTGTTTCCACGTGTTATAGTTACGTTATTTTAGTGTTCTTTTCTTGCGTTAAATTAGTTTTCCGACGTTAGTGTTTGTATTATTCTGTTCATATCGTTCTGTCCTTTTTCGGTGTCTCAAACCGTTCGTGCAGACCCGATATTATTATTATTATTACATTATTATATATTATTAAAGAAGGAACATATCAATATTTAATTCCTGTACGTTGAAGACAATAAAACCCGTTTTCGGCAATATTTCATATTTTTCTAACACTTTGACTACCACGTTGTTCGTATATGACCGACCACGATTTCTCCTGTGACGCCACGGTGGTCATTGATGACAGGAGCGCTTGAACTACATTGAACTACATTGAATGAAAATTGACAGTTAGTGCAATTTGGATATAACCGCTAATTGGAAGATACTTCGAAATAAAAGGTGCCCCATTGAACGATTAAAAATTTTGATTAGAACATCAAAAATATATGAGAACAAATCTTGCATCTAGCGGTGCACTCCCGTGGCGTCCTGAGAGAAACATGTGATTTCGGAGCGGTAGTTAAAGGATTAATAGGGTTTACAAATCAAATCGTATGAATTGTATCTTTTAATAGAATCCTGAAAGCAAATCGTAGTAAAACTTTCATCTGTGCAATTAGTTATAACGTTGTATCCAAAGATCAACCTTCTCGATGCGACGAGAGTAAGACTCTGACGTTTATGGGAAAAAGAAAGGAATCTAGGGAAAAAGTGGAGATCGGTCGACAATGACAGATCACGAAACAATAGACATTTTTCCCAGCGATTGGAAATAAAGTTTTCGCCGTGAAGTTAAATTGCAACGCGTTGCAATTTCAAAGTTCGTCAACGTCTTGACTACCCCGGCATAACCCAGTTTCCTCATTTCGATTCTCATCTCCAGTTCGTTTCTATACGGAAACGTAATCTACGTCGGCAATGAGAGAACCTTTCACATTCGCGGTCCTAACAATGAGGGACTTCCATTAGGATAATAATCCCCGGCGCCAGGTGAATAAGTAAATTCGCGCAATTTCGTTAGGGACGCTCTTTAAACGGTGTCATCTTGCTGAATTTTTTCATTAAAACGTCCGCGGGAAAGCCAGGGAAAATTTTTCAACTTGTTCAATGGACTTAAAAAGCGCTGGAAGCTTCATCTGGCCCGGAATACCTTGACAATTTTTCAGAGCAGACGAACCATGGGTAAAGAAGTTTAAGAAGTTGCAAATTCCTTTAACTTTTATGTCTTGGTCCATCCGCCGTGTAAAAAGCGAAGATCTTCGTTCAAAGTCGATGAGCTATGCAAGATTCCTCGCATCTTTCGCCAGGATTTCACGGAGTTTTAATTGAAAAGTTACTCTGCAATTAAAAAGAACACTAGCTAATTCGTATATAGACACTCGAGTCGAAAGTTTAATGGCAAAAGATAAAAATGATACTCGTAAAAGCAGGAGTTCCCGACTTTTGATAACTTTGTTTTGATTACTATTGATAATACTATTGATAATTTTGATTACTATTGATAAAATAGAATAAACAATTGCAAAAGGGAAGACTGGGAAATAGAGAAAGAGAAACAAGCGAACAAAAATCAAAATAACACGAAAAAGGGAAATATACTGGAGCTAAAAATCGTAGAAGGAAAAATATACAAACGTGGAAAATGAGAAGGAAGCAAAACAGAGATTGCAGAAAAATAGCAGGCGTGTGACAAAAGCTAGGAAAATTGCAAAAGGAAATACAAACGAAAAAAGAGATACGAATTGCAAAAGAAGAAAAATGATGAAAATCATGGAAGAAAGGAATATAAAGGAAAAAGGTAGAAGAATTGCGACGGGAAAAATACAAATGGAAAATTTTCAAAGGGAAAAAATTTTCAAAGAGTAAAAAGGACAGGATATCCAATTTTGGATCCCTAGAATCCTCTCGGTGCACAATTTCCAGAATGTTCCACGTCCGCTGCAGTATCAGCGAATAATTCACAAGGGGCACAGAAATTCTTCTCGCGGTTATGCGAATGGAAAATCAATATTCTGTTTACCCGACGTTTTCCATTGCTCGGAGCAATCTTAGTTAGAAACGAACACATTCGTGGTAAGTATATACGCGGTGGTTCGATCGTCGGCGAAGACGGCAGCGAAACGATTCTCTGAATTATTTTCAAAATTCGCTGGAATTCGCGTGAACCGATTATGATTCCATTTCGATGAATCGAGCCATTCGGATAGAAGACTGATCGAGATTCGAGCAATGTATTCCATTACATTAATTTCCAGTGACAATGGACTTTTATGGCTAATCGAACGTACAGCTCCACCCTCGAATGTTTCATGGAGCAATTCGCTTTTCGATATCCGCGTAATTTCTCTCATTCGATGAATTTCACGTGTCGATACACTTCAATGGCAAATTAAGTGCGATTAAATTACGCGAACTAATAATTTCATGCACGCTCTGATTTATCGTACACATATTCTTGCGTTTCCTAAGTCACGTCTTGGAACCATTGCAACTAGAAAAATGGCGCCTTTTACGTTCATTTGGGATCATAAACAGTGAACCTACCACGAATTAAATATTATAACAATTTTTAAATATTTTCTTTTATTCCATTTTTTAAGATTCTTCTTCGATTCTTTCATCCATTGATTATTTGACAGAATGTGGTAGGTTTAGTGTAAGTATAGTTCGTTTTAATTGGTTTCGACATATTAAACGAGTATTATACTTCATTATACACTTCCTCAAATTCAAATTGAAATTCAAATTTAAGTTTCATTTGTTTCCCTTAAAAATTCCCGTTCACGTTTCTTTTTATTCTATCCTTTACTAACATAACCTCACATTATATGCTTTCATATATGTTTTGAATAATTCTAATATTCGCGGTATATTGTTATACAAAATAAAAGAAAGCTCTAGAGCTCTAAAATTCCATGTATCCCCGGGCTATCATTCCGATAACCCGAAAAAGCACGTGCGCTATGGAGGATGCTTCCGGTCCCCGGAGATGGCGGGACTTTTGAATGCGGTAAAGCACGAGGCAACGGTCGATCGCGCTAGGTTGAAGGAAATTTTACAAAGAAGACGAAGGAACCGAGCTACGTTCTATATAGATTCTTCGACAACGGAGAAACAGAGGGGATGCGTGTATTCCCACGGTGGTGAAGTATTTATTCTAAGAGAGCGCGATATTGACCGCAACTGGGGACGTACCGAGCGGACTGGACAATTTATTGGACAATTCAGGGGTTGTACATTGCTTGTGTTCACGTGTGCACCTGTATACGTGTCTGACACGTGTATGTACACGTTTCATCAGCGTTAGGTGCACAGAATGCAGAACGCGTTCGACGTTTGCCCTTCGACCGCCATGCCAATCTTTGCCCGTTTCGCCACGGAAAAATATACGAAAACCTGTTGCCTCTGTTTAGCGTGCTCGAATGTAGATTAGTTCCTCTTCCCGTGTATTTGCGGAATTAATATTTGCAAGTGTTTGAAAGCATCCTACGATTTTTCCATCTTCAAATAGGAGAGTTAGGAAAATTGAAGAAATAAGGAAAATTTGATTTTTGAATTTATGATAGAAAATTTGTTGGTATTTGGAATTCGTAATTTGAGAACATGGAAATATCTAATGCTAAAGAATGGTAGTGTACTCCACGATTGTCAGAGTTTCTCGAGATTGCTACAGTGTATGCAGATGTTACATATATACCTATACGAGGTATCATTTTCATTCACTGTAATTCACAATCTTCCCATGAATTTGAATATTTATATAATACTAAAAATATAATGCTAGCTCTCCCTTGTAAAATGAAATTTAATTTATAGCTTTAATTAAATATGACCCATTTTTATGTAAGATGTACCGCCTGGAAATTACTCGGGGAACACTTAAGATCCTAGTAACGTAGGAAGCTAGGAACGTTAAGGAAGAATGGACATTTTTTCATTTTAACATTCCTCTGAGACAGTTAGGAGGTAGAGCAGGTAATTGAAGGAAAGAAATATTTCGTGACAGATAGATATCATTTAATCTCCGATTGGAAGATTAATGGTGCCATCGTTGGGAGAAGCTAAGAGGGAGGAAACGATTTTCTCTCTGGCTTGAAAGTTTGCAGAAGATCTGTTTAAGGTAACACGAGAAAGACGTCGTTAAGGGGAAAAAATTGTTCCTTCGTTGGTTCGAAGTTTGATGGAAGTTTTGATGAAGAAAAATAGAGATAGCACGGAAATGGATGTACGGAAAATGGAAACGTCAGAGGAACAAATACATAAGAGAATGAATACACGTGGATGCATTAAGAAAATGGCAGATCGAAGAACCCTCAAACACCCTACACCTTATTCTTCCCCTTTAAAACACTTCGAGGTATCGATCATTCAACTTGGATACAGCTAACTTGACGATACACCGTCGAAGTGCATTATTTAAACGTTAAAAAGGAAATACAGAATCAAGGAGAGAGATAGACAGAGGGAACGAAATGTGAGAGCGAGGAAGAAAGAAAGAGACAGCGAAAGAGGGAGAGATTGTTCAATCATAAACTCTAACCAACTGGTTAAATGCATTCATCCAGTGAACTAGGTCGAATTAAAACTTTGTTATATCGTAGCCACAGGGGCTTACTAACAGATTGGGTTTGTCGTGTTTCAAGGGTTTTAGCATTTAACGGGAGCTTCTAGCCTACTGTGTGTCCAAACAAACACTGAAACGCAATATAAAATGATCTTACCGTTAACTTGACCTAAGTGACATACGAAATTAACTTATCCTTCTATCCACTAGAATTTGTTACCGCTGTCACGTTTATGGTACATTTTCGCACAGTATATCTAACCGTATTAAAAAATAGAATTTGAAAATACATTCGTCGGATTTTGAAAAACATATTACGAATAATCGAATTAAATATCGTTGCAAATTATAATTATTGAAATTGTTATTATTTCTTGTAGACTGGTAACTGCGATTGGAGACGCTTATGGTCTTGCCTTACTGCTACACATGTTGACCACCACCATCACCTTAACTTTGCTTGCTTATCAAGCAACAAAGGTAATATAATTCCTTCCTGTGCATAGAATATCGAATTAAAATAAGAACAATTGTTGTTCCAAGTATGAAAGTTTGCATGTGTAAAAAGAAGAAAAAATTGTTTCACCTTCTTCAATAAAATAGCTAAATCCTTGATACGTGTACCTTCTACAGATACATGCAGTTGATACATACGCAGCATCAGTAATTGGGTACTTGGTATACTCCCTTGGGCAAGTCTTCATGCTCTGCATATTTGGAAATCGTCTCATCGAAGAGGTACATATAGATACATATACATACATATATACATACTTATCTGTACATACACCTGATCATGTATCCCACGTGGAATAGCGTGAATTTCAATTACGTCTCTCTCGGATTCTAAAATTATTAAACAAACCGAACCTAACCTAAAAGACAATGTGGAAGATTGTAAAATTACATCTCACGTGTCTGCAATTCCCTATTACCGGAGTTAAATATTTTGTAATTCATAAATATTCGAGATCAGAGGTTCTCAACCTGTGGTACGATTACATAAGCTGAACCGAGTTATATAAAATTTTTAAACCTACAATGAGATATACTACGGTAAATAGACGCTGTCTACAGAGTGGACTTGATCATATATCGATTTATAGCAAGCTAGGAAATAGGCTGAGAATGGCTGTTTTAAATCCGGTAATATTAGGAATTTAATATGAATTATTAGGAAAATTATTATTACACGTATCTATCGTGCACAGAGCTCATCGGTGATGGAAGCAGCCTATTCCTGCCATTGGTATGACGGATCAGAGGAGGCCAAAACCTTTGTACAGATCGTCTGTCAGCAGTGTCAGAAGGCGATGTCTATTTCAGGAGCGAAGTTCTTCACCGTCTCTTTGGATCTTTTCGCTTCGGTAATGCAAGCCACTTCATCTTTTTGCGCTGCTAAATTTAACGCTCACCTAAAACCCAAACGAAACACTTTAACATGCTGTCTACCATGCCACGGAGAAAAATCCGCAGCGCGGTTCATCGCTTATTTCCAAAATTTCGAAATTCTTTTTTCAAATACCTCGAAATAGAAGTCAGAAGTCGGCGAATGCTAGGGCTGACGTTGATCGTGTTAATTCCAAAGAGTATTGCAACGAAATTCATTGTCAGCTTGGACTGAAATTCAGTTTGGAACTTCAGTTTTGAACCGAACTCGGCTTGAACTCGGTGCTTGAATTATTAACGAAATTGCCAAAGTTTCTAATGTATAGAGATTGATTAATTAAAATAACGAATTCTCTAGGTGCTGGGAGCTATGGTCACCTACTTCATGGTCTTGGTGCAACTGAAGTGAACGTTAAGGATTATTTATTTTAAGTCTGAACAAGGAAGATACAATGCCGGAGTATGCGTGATCGAAATTGTCAGACACGAGACTCGTTTGTCGTGCCTTGTAACACTTTCTATCAAGTTCTTGTAAGGATTCAGCTGGAAACTGTGACCGAAGGACAATGTAGGATTATAGAGTGTACATACAGAGAGTATCCTTCGTTTTCGATTATTTTTTTAGGAATTCCAAAAACTCGACCATGCGATATATTTGATACTAACGGATGATAAATGGTAATTGGATATCGATCGACATGTAGCAACAAAATTACTTGAACACGAAGGGTACTCTGGGAATTACTCGAAGTAAGACGAAGCTGTGCTATCGCTAAAACACCTTTTTCTTTATCACTCTAAGTCATAGTTCTATAATAAATTAATTATAACTGTCGACAGTAACGTGTTAGATACTCTGATATTATGTATTAAAGAACTCTAAGAATTAAACAAGATTCTTAGATACAACTTTATTCTTGGGGAACAAAGGAAAACATTAAAGATAGGCTTCTAAGCAGCAGAGGGTGGCTAAAAGAAACAAATTTTTTCAAATAAAAGACTGAAAAACATAAATTAAAAGTTTTATAATGAGAAAAATATAGACTCTAGTTAGCAGAACGTTTTTCTTTACATTCTTTTGTCTTTTCCTTCATTTTAGATTATTATTCGTAGAAGTTACATCGTTACTGTCGAAACCAAAGTATCAAAGAATTTTTCTCTGCGAAGGATCTATTTCAATTACAATACGTAGTAAAAGTAAAAATGATTAAAATTAGAGTACCAAAATGGAATCTACATCTGTATCATCCCCTTTCCTTTGAACCTTTCGTTTCTAAAGGCAACGCCTAGTAACTTTAATTAATACCTCAATGAGAATTTATTAAATTCCTGTAAGTGGATACGCTAATGATACGTATAATCCAAAATTAAAGGGTGAACAACGAAGATTATTAACGTAGCTTAGGATAATAATTTGCTAAGCTAACGCGAGAAATTTAATCCTTGGAGAAATTAATTCCACGAAAATTAATTATTTTTGGTTATTCAGGGCAGATGTAAGTGAAGTGAATTTGCGATCCCGACTAATATTATCAAAGGATTAATTTTCACGTGACGAAGACGTAAGGAAAATGGCATGAAGAACCTAACAACAAATGTTTTTTTACCGATATCAATGCGTAGGTCTAAGTCGAGTTAAAATAACGTAATATTTATAAGCATTAATTTTTAAATAGGCTAATCTGAAATAAGCTGCACTCGATACTTAAGAAAAATATCGAAAATAACGGGAAATATTACGCTGAAGATGAACTTGTACAGTATTCTGTGATGTAATTGCGAGAGTGTGTTACCGACGAAGTATGAAGATGCAAATAACACAGATTACGAAGAATATATCAACACGGTGTGATTCTGAATATTGCAAATGAATTTTGCACAAACATAAATAATACTTCGTCTGAATCGTCAGACGATTAAATGTTGCATCTTGATTTTCCGAAGTAATTTTATAAAAATAATAAGGTACTCTTATCGACATGTAAATAGATAAATTAACACTATCATTATTACGATGAACAATTATCTTTAATTTTAGAACGATTTCTACTATTGCAAAAACCCTTTCTGATGTATAATTGCTATTTAGTCTATCTTATGAAATTTGCATTTTTTAATTTGATCAAAATTTGGAATACTTCGATATTTTCAAGTCAGTGTATAATACTATACGTGACATTCTCTCAGTCTAGTAAATTAAAATTTAAGTGTATTTTCTACTTTATTATCGTAATATTAAGAAATTATTCGAATATCGTTTCAATATTATTATGTTCAAATATTTAAACAGACTTTTCCTCGGCAAAATATAAAAGTAAATTGCAAATAAAAGGAAATAAGACCGCTGAAAGGTATGGCAGGGACAACAGCAAAGATGCTGTTTATAGAATTTAAGAAGATTTCATCCACTCGTGCACGGCAGTTCCTCTGCGCCGTTAATTTATAAATACACCAACTTTCTAGCACAAATTTTTCATATTTCACGACAACCGAATGAAACATAAATTTTTCTAAGACCTAGCGTACGAGAAGTATGATAACTTTACTATAGTTTTAATAACGATGCATTATAAATACGTATTACTGTATAATTCTAAAATAAATTCTGTCCTAGTCCTAGGTACCTATTCCCACGTGAAACTTTAAACAATAGAAGAGCAATGTTATCGAACGCATTTAATTAACGTTAATACTGTAATCATATTGTGAATTCAATCGTCAGTATTATAAATGGTTTCTCTCTATGTAAATCTATAATATATTTGTCTTACAAAATGTTCTACATGTACACTGTTTCCTTACAAAATATTCCTACACTAATATCCCTCCATGTTCGTAAACATAGTTTAATTCGGGATTAAAATGTGGATTAAAACGATTATTATATTTCCACTAATCGTGGGTGAATCTTTCTCAGTCCTCTTCAAAATTAAAATGAAAAAATTAATTCTTTAAATAAATTAATTAAAAATAAATTCCTCTTTAAAATCAGAGAATTAAGTGTTTCAGGTATTCGACGACATTATGTCAGAAATATATTTCACTACCTATTTCTACAAATTATATTTAAATTTGGAGAATCGATGACAGGATACCAGGATGCCATTTCAAGAATTTCCAAAATCGAATTTACTTTCAAATCTTCCTCGTTCACATTTAAATCCTTCATATATCATTATCCTTCCTTGACAAACCTATCGCTTCTATTTCCAAGGCTGCCTATATTTAACGATCCTGGCATACCAATTTTAATCTAAAATTTAATTCTCCATTCCTAAATTTTCCCTCCGACTTCTAAATCATTCCTTCATCAAATTCCTGTAGATAGGTCTTTCCCTGCGCCTCGTAGTGCAAGTCTCCCCCTGAAATCTCAATTTTTCATCGTCAAATTTCCATCTAAGGTCTGAATGTTCTATTTCCAAGCCTTCGACGTCGAATCTCCTTTCGAAAATAAGAGGAAGCGTATTTATTCCCATTTGACTCTCTCGCCACGTTCCACGAGCGCGATTCGTCTCTGTCCGTGGAAGGTAATGAACTTACTGCGAATATGATTTACGCAAGGGAAGGTAACGCTGTGGGAAAATAGGATTCCCGGCCGAGTGTGCGTGCAAATAGTCGCGTTAAAGGGATGCATCAAATTTTCTACCGGCTTTGCAATCACGTCCATCCGGGACCTACCTCGCCGGATTTCAAATCGCGCAATCAGACCGAAGATATATCCCATGGTTAATCGAGATAAACTGCAACCACCTGCGACGAACTAATTCCTCGGTAAGAACTTTGTCCTTTCGAAACTGCCACGCTGCATTTTATCCGTGGCGAGAAAGGATTTTTGTTTTTAATGAAAATGCTCCAGTTCCATATATTTAAATCGTGCAGCGTTGAATGGGAAGAGATTTATTTCCACTTTTCACTGGTAAAAATTCGATGCTGTTAGACAAACGTGAAATATTGCTTTAGATTATGATACTTGTTGAGCAATATGTCGCTTGTTTTCGACGTTCATGAATAGAGAACCTTGTTACTGATAAAAATCGATCTGTGAAGAAATTTTCGAAATGCAGCGAAAAAATGAAACTAAAACTGAGTTTTAATTACATTTGGAATAATTGAATCGACACCTTCCTATGATAATCTATCAGTAAGATATATGGATACTATGATTTATCATGTTTTCTAGCGATCACCGTACTCGTTAATTTTCTTCTTCGATATCTCATTAATTTTCAGCTACCGAATGCTGCCACACGTAGAAGTATCATTTTCGTAATATAACGAAGTATTATTTCTGAAATAAAAAATTCGCGTCGAAAGGTATGGACAAATAATTTCTTCAAAATAGGTAGCATGTATAAAATCGGCTTTAGAGATAAAGCATTAGCAGCTGCGATTAATGCGAAGTCTAGATAACTACAGGGTCATTCCAAATCTCCAACACCCTGCTGCATAGTGATAAATGATCCTCCTTTCACGAGATCTAGTAACACTTTACTTCGACAATTTTTCCTGCACACAGATTTACGGGAACTATTTAAACAAACTCGCTAAAACGTAAGAAACGCGAAGAAATTAAATGTAAAATGATCATCAAATATTTCACATAATTTACGTTACTCATTAAAATAAAAATATTCTTCTATTTTGAGTATAGAAATTTCGAAAAACATCTCTCCCTTCGGTATTTATAGTACACGTGTATTTCACGCTGTGTAATTTAATAAAGGTTGCATAATTTGGAAAATAAACGGAAGAAAGTCGAGCTTGGAGAAGCAGGGTATTAAAAATAGAAGAAACAGGTGAATCGATACGACTTTATTGTTTAACATAAATCCTTGCGAGATTGTTTAACGCGCATGCCCACTGGGAGAGTGGCTTTACAGGAAGGCAGTTTCGATCGGCTGGGCCTCGTCGTATGATAAATAGGTCTTCCTCTTTTACAGCATCCTTCCTTCCTCTAATCGTAAGATACACGCGAACAATAGATACCTGGTCTCGGAATACAGCTCCACAGGAAGCGGAACTGAACCTGAGTAACGACTGGCAGAACTTTGGCAAAGTTATAAACTACCTCTCTAGGAATTATGAAACGTAAAACTCAAATCGTTACTTAATACTTGAAAACTCCTCTAGTCCTTTAGAGACAAAAAGTACAATTGTCATAATATTACTTAGTCTCATAATTTGAGAGGTTAGAAGAATACGAGAAATTTTCGAAAATTTTTCATACCAATATTTAACAGCGCTAACTATGTTGGACAAGTTAACCATTAAATTGGAGAAAGATACATGTAAAACCTTTTAGATATTGCAATGTGGAATAAAAGTTCCAATAAATCCTATTAATATCAAGATAACCTATAAGTAACTAGTAATTATTAATTCCAGCGCTTAGGATTATAAAATCGACTATAAACTGACTAGCGTAGTCAATAACGATTGACACGAATAAATTTCAATCACTATACTATATGCAGAATATTTAGATTCGTTTACGCGTAAAATTTGCGTTAAGTCGGCATTCTCGAGTAAATACGTTTCATTGGCGTAAGGAGATTAAATGCAAATGGCGGAGAATTAAGAGCGCGGTTGAGAAGCATTGCAACAATAAAATTATTCTCGCGGAAAGATTTCTGCAAGACCATATACTTCCTTCCGTATCGTTAAGACTCAACTTACCAAGAGAATACGAGCATGTAAACATAAAGGAATACGAGAAACAACCGCACCTATTCCACAAAATAAAATACAGATTTTACCTTGAACCACGCTGCTCTGTATTTATCCAAATCGCACGCGAGCTCGGACGATTGCAACGATAATTAAAATTTCCCGGACCCGCGGAACTCGTATTACCGTATTAAATCTCAACTTAAATCTTAATCGGAAAAGTAGAGATAAATTTTCACTCGCAATTCCGCATACACGAACACAAACACAGTTACGATAAAGGAGAGTTATTAGAGATTCGCGGTGACAAATAAGCAGAAGCTCAGGAGTCAATGTGACGGAAAGAAATTGGCGCGAAGCCCAGCGCGCATGCGCAGCACGAGAGTGACTCTGTCGGTAGCTTCGATCGTCCAGGGGTCGACATCGTCGTCCACCGAGCAGCTTATCCTCGTGCTCTCGTGATGCTGTCTGTGCTCGTCCGTTTTCCAGCTCGTTCTTCCGTTTCGTGATAGAACGAGCGGTACTTTTCTCGCGATAATCCAGTGGACGAGAATCGGGACGTGTTCGCGTGGCTTCCTTCGCGGCAATCTGGAACAACGAGGAAAATAAATACGTCCGTGTTCGGCACGAGACACGTCCCCAGATGAAAACGCACGACGTGCTGCCCCCCCGGCCAGTGGACTCGCTCGACTCGCACTCTATCGACGCGATTCGACGTGACAGTTCGTGCAGGTTATTACCGACGATCCCGTAATCGAGGCCGTCACGCGACTGCGAACGACATTATCGTCGCGTGCCACACATCTGTCCGGAAAATCAGTCGACTGAGTTCGCGGCTCTGTTCTCCATCTATAAATCAGTTTAACAAAGGCGACGTGCAGAAACGCGGACGAGTTTCGATCTCGGGGATACGGTGCGCGGTCTAGTGATCGTGTAATCATCGATTGAGTCGGTAAGAAATAGGTTAACAGTGTGCCGCGCGAGCGAACGCATTCGATTGAGGCGAGCGAAACAGGTGGATCATTTGGAAGGAAAAGTGACCGCCTAAGCGACGGGATAGTCGATGAGATTGGCAAGGATGATGACGGATAGAACTCGCCAGATTCGCGCTGCCTGTCATCGCGAGGCATTATATAACCGGTGCACGACGATGCAAAATTATCCCGGGGAATGTATCGGCGAGGGGTCGATAAAAATGAGGGCCACGAACGCGGTTTCTTAAGCGCTCCATTAGTCAAACCTCTGTGTCTGACAATAAATCAATGGATCAGTCGCCCGGCGTGCAATTAGAGTAATTATATCGCGAATATATTGTATTTTCCATCGTTTCGTAACTCGGCAAGTTTAATCATTAACACGGTATATTTAATAGCGGGGGTAGTATGCGTTTAAAACGCGCTCGATTTATACGAGGGAATTAAGTAACGCGAGATAAATGGGATCGGCGTTGAACGGGATACCGTTGGCTGTATAGTGTGATCGAAATATATTTTCTACCAGTGTGGCTATTCTAAAGTGATACCGTGAAGCAGAGATTTGCTCAAGTATTCTTACTCGAGGCAATTAGTGAGAAGCTTCCTGGGAAACACCGATAATCATAGGGACAAAAACTGCGAGCGGCAGGAGGAGGCGAAGCCTCCCGCCGCAAAAACAATGTCGTAAGTATTGTCACGTTACTCTAAAAATACGATTAATCTAGGCATCGGTACCTGTCGTGAGAAAACTCCGAGAGAGAACCACTATTACCTATATAGTAACTTAATTTGGTAACAGAGTTTAGTAACTTGTAGTAACTAGCAAACTAATTTAGTGATAAATATAGTAACTTATAGTAACTATCGTAGAAATTGAATCATAATCCGATATAGTTACTCGATTCGATAATTTAGAAATTACCTAATGAATAATTTAGAGATGCAAGAAAATGACGAAACAATCGAATATTGTTTAGGTGTAGTCTGCACGCTTTGATGTATCGTCGATCTTCGCTGTGCTATCAGAATTTTTATTCCTTCGAATATTAAGCCACTCGTAGTTGATAATTAGATGGCCCGAATACGAGAGATAAAGTAAACCCGATAACACTTTACGATCCTTTGCTTCCGTTGATTCCTTTCGTTGGTTGTTAATTTGCCGTCCCAAGGTCAAGTGTTCCGTCAACAGGATCAAGTCAACAATTATCGATCACTATCCGCGACTTCAGAACTGCATATTAATAAAACTAACATCCTTGAGCAAGTGCTTGGGGAGGAATTTGAAATTACAAAATTCATTATCAGAACGTGTTGACTTTTAATATCTGGTATATGGAATCTTCGATTAGACGAGAAAAGTCTCAAGCAAGTTCAAGAATCGAAATGAGTCGTTATAATTCAGTGCTACGTTACCCTTTAAATTCTATAATACGAGAACTCCAATAGCATCCCATGCTCATACCTCGACACGTGGTACTTTCGACTAGGAAGTTTCAGACTATGACAATGTTCCATTGGAACGATCCCTATAATTCGATATGATCGATCAAGTACGATGTATGTCGCGTTAGATTCATTGAAACAGAATGCACAAATCCTCGAAGCACAATTCAATTATTGACAGACTCGTAAAATCTTATTACAGCTGCTATAGTCATCTCGAATCTAACTGAAACTATTCACCGAAGTCCTCCAAAGTCCAATTACCACGATCAGAAGTAGCTGACTACCAAGTCTAATAGATTGCAGAAGATCAGATCATAATTGCTCCTTCACAAAGGCACAGAGTATACAACTTGAATTATATAGTCCTCGGATCGTGAAATCTGATCACGAGCTACCTCTCTGGTCGCCAATACAGGTATTACCGAATTACGATTCTGAAAATATCAAATAAAATCATAAAATACAGACAACGTTAGAGTCGCGGAAGCAGACATAACAGATCTCGAGATAATATACCTATAAACATGATTCCTGCATCGAAATCTGGTTCAGACTGGGACAATCCTGATCCCAAAATCATAGGAGTCTTCCTGGATCACAAGATCTCGAGATCCAGGCTCTGATGTTCATTTTTCTAACCTAGACCCAGGAGACCTCGGTTTGAAGTCTAGCTCGACTAGCCTGGACTCTAGAGTCCTGGAATCCACCTCAGACTAGCTCAGGATTCTTGAAACATCGACCATTGCTAACCCACATTCACGAAACTTGAATCAAACTACCAGATCCTTAGATCGGAGGATTCTAGCGGCTCATGTCCTTTCGATTGTCAGAGACGAGTCCCATGGCTCCGAGACTAGGATAGTTGAGATATCAAGATCGAGGGCTAATCCGAGGCTGGTGTCTCGGGGTTAAAATGACCAAACTCTGGAGCATCGTGACAAGTATGATGACAGTGGAGTAAGGGTAATCGAGATCCCAGTTTCTGAAACGATCCTAGAAAGGCTTGGCAACTTTATAACGAGGATCGCCATCTCGTAATAATGGACAACTCCCAAAGTGGCTGAACATGGACCTAATAATCTGACTCGGATTTCTTAGTTCCTCGTCATCCTCTGAGACTTTGATTGCTTCAAAAGTACTCTAATTATTCTTCGCGAGTGTAAGATGAATTCTATCGTGACCAAAAAATTTTGTTTGACATCTAGTCTGCTGGACAAAGCCTTTGAAACTCCTAAGAATATCGAGAAGCTTGATAAAATAGATATTGAGATGAAGGAACTGGCAGTTCTGTATCGTTGACCAATACTGCCACGTGTTATAAACGTATAGGGACAGAGATGACATGTTCTTCAGATAATTTGAATTCGTCGTTATCGATTCTTTCTGACGCTGTGGAGTCTGTGTCGACTCTTATTGATCCAAATATGAAGGTATCAAGTTCTTAAGAGCCTCGAATTGTACTAATCGAGTTACGCGAATTCTAATATATTCCTATGGAATCCTATCGGAGACGAAGATAATATGTATCGCGTTTTGAAAGACCATAATCTTCAGGATTAAATTTTACAAATGGAGAGTCTAATATCGGAAGATTCCAAGATTATAGATGTTCTAGGATTATTATAATCATTAGAGGAGGACTGCAACCTGTTATTAGATCTTAGTTTCCTCGTGATACTAGTTTTTATCTTTCTTTGGGTCTTATATATTATATAGTATTATTATCTACAATGTGTTACATGTTTGTACAATTTAATGTAATATTTTCCTGAAATTATTTCACTATTTATTATAATTTGAATAATTATTAATTATTATTGATACTCATGAAATTGATATGGTTTAAGTGATTATAAATTATTATTATTATATTATAGTTTGAATATTGAAAATAAATTGAGAGATTATTATATCTTGCGTTGAGAATGTCACTGATAAACTCTCGGGATTATACCTCTCATGTTTTGAATTAATGCAGAATTTTTGGAATAAACGAAGAATATGGGAACAGTGTCTACAGCGACAACATAATTAATGCAAGTCGAAATTAGTCAATTACATATACGCATTCAATCCGCCCGTTTAATTACAACTGGAATTAATTATTGTAATGCACCGTTTATGCGCGGACTAGGTGATATTAGCGGAACAACCTTATAATATAATGCGTACAAATTGCATTTACGGCAATTACCGTTTGGCACGTTCATTACTGAAACCAGAGGCACTCGTGTCCTTAATTGCTAAGAAACATAGCGAGCCGATTTTTGGCCGAACAGAAAAATTCTCGAATTCTCGTATGTGGAAAATAGTTAGCGAAACGACCCATAATTCGAATATTCCCACATTTAAACATGTAATCTAAAACTATAAAATTGAGATATTATACTCTGAAAATTAAAAAATATGTGGAATATATATATTAATAGCTTTTGGGATCATTTTTCTAAAGAATTGAATATTAGTTTAATTTCTCTTTTCAGCTCTAATTTTCGAACACTCGGCTTGAACGTGTGAATAAATTGCAGGGGGTTTCAAAGGTATAACCGTGATATTATCTTTTGAAAATTATTTTAACCGTACAATGAAAACGTGTACTCGTTCAGATGAATCGATATATCTTAATAATTTAATAAGGTAATACATTTATGGGGAAAATTATTCTATAGGATATTTCGTATATTCTACATATAACGAATTTTATACGTGCGACTAGCCAGTTTCCGGACAAAAGTTAATACAAATCTAATTAGGAAATGTATTATAATTAATCGAAAAATTCGGTCATTAATGAAAGCGAGACGAAGCAGGATTGAGATTTTAATCTGAAAATTATTTCAGAAAATGCCAATTATTTAATGTACAAAAAGAATACTTCGCAAAATTGCACGAATTTTATGCAAAAATTAAAACAAGAAGACAATAATAACCTGAACAGAAATTTGTACAAAATCTGTAATTGTGGAAATAATTAATCCTCATGTGCAACATGAAATTACATATCACATTTCTTTATTTTAATTTTATTTTTATATTACCATACTATTATACTTTCTCAATAGTTCCTAATCAATAACTTGTCTTTTTCCCAGATAAACGAGATTTCGATTATAAGAAATTAATCCTGTAAGCTAATTGCAAGAAACTGATCATCTCCGATTTCCTTTTCTTATAAATCTACTACAAGTTAACCATCTGCAAACTCGAAGTGAAGACAGCAATGCATAAAATATATAACAAACCACTAAAATCTTTGAAATCAGAAATATCAACAATAATAATAAAAATAAAAAAGTTATTTCTTACACATTTGATTTAATTCCTTTTCTTCCCAAATTTCAAAGCCCCAATTTATTTCCACAGAATTCGTTCATACCGGTATCCCCAAAATCCCAAACGCTCCTCTAAAAAAATCCTTCGCTGCCATTGGATCTGTATGAAAAGTAAAATTCTTTGATAAATCCAAGAACAAATTTCATAGAAATAGGAAGGAATAAAAGGGAATAAAAAGAAAGAAGGGACTTGCCGATTTTTAAGGCTTTTTAACGGTCCAAAATTTCGAAGCCTTTTATTCTCATAAAATTCGTCGATACCGATATTCTAAAATCCCAAATATTTCTCACCAAAACATCCTTAGTCGCCATTGGGTCTGCGTGAGAAATAAAATTTTTTGATAAATCTGACCTACAAACTTTATAGAAATAGAAAGGGAAAAAATGGAATAAAAAGAAAGATGAGACTAGCCGTGTTTGGAAGCTTTTTAAGGGCCCAAAATTTCCAAGCCTTTTATTTCCTTAAAATTCGTTCGTACCGGTACCACCAAAAAATCCTTGGCCGCCATTATGTCTGTATGAAAAATAAAATTCTTTGATAAATCTGACCTATAAACTTTACAGAAACAGGAAGATACAAAAAGGAATATGGAACTTACCGGTTTTGGAGGCTTTTTAACGGCCCCAAAATTTCGAATCCCTTTATTTTCTCAAAATTCGTTAGTACTGGTATCACCAACAAATCCTTAGTCGCCATTGGATCTATGTGAAAAGCAAAATTCTTTGATAAATCTAACCTACAAACTTTACAGAAACAGAAAGATATAAAAAGGAATATGGAACTTACCGGTTTTGGAGGCTTTTTAACGGCCAAAAATTTCGAATCCTTTTATTTTCTTAAAATTCGTTAGTACAGATATCACCAAAAAATCCTTAGTCGCCATTAGATCTATGTGAAAAGTAAAATTCTTTGACAAATCTAAGTACAAATTTCACAGAAATAGAAAGAAATAAAAAGAAAAATAGGACTTGCCAGTTTTGGAAGCTTTTTGACGGCCCAAAATTTCGAAGCCTTTTATTTTCTTAATAAAATTGAGAATATTCTCAAAATTCGTCCATATCTCGATATTCCAAAAGCCCAAACGTTTCTCACCAAAGAATCCCTGGCCGCCATTGGGTCTCCACGAAAAGCAAAATTCTTTGATAAATCTTCCTGGAAATTTCGCAGAAATAGGAATAGATAAAAGGAAAGAGGGGATTTACCAGTTTTGGAGGCTTTTTAACGGCAATAATCCGTGAAGCGTGGTACCTCGGCGTGTTCAAAGGCGGTGAACAGCGCGGCGAGCACACGCATCAATCAGCATCGTTGATCGCGCCTTGAAGTTGGCCGTACTCGAGAGCACCGATGCCAGTCGGGCTGCGAGCTTCGACCGCGAAGCTCGGCTCAGCACGCGACTTCCTTCTCGCAGGTGCGACAGTTCGCGTTCATGCCTCGACCCGTGGAAATCGCGCGTTCATCTCGATGGACCGCATGAGAAGAGAGAACGACACGCACTCCAAGCCGACACTCTACGGGAACAGGCGGCTACTGGGTAAACAATCTGAAAAAGAAAAAGCAAAAATAAATACGTGTTGCGAAATTTTAATTGCCATCGATTTTTGTAAATTCCACAATTTCAGAATTTCGTTCGTTATGCATATCCCTGTAAACATTAAGGGGTAGTTTTCATCGAACGACGAAACGATGAATAGTGACATGTCTGTGATGCGTTCGAATTTTGTTCTTTATTTTTGTTTTTGTTTAGAGGTACGTTTTGTTGAATTACAGAGATTATTATAATAACCTCTCATCGCGAAGTTGGAACTTCCTATAGGATATGATCGAATTCTGTTAGTGACGAGGAAATTATGATCACTGCTGTGTCCGTGATTTTTATTTGAATTTTCAAATCGTTGTTGAACTGTTTATATTCGTGGTTAGACATGTGTTTTAAGTTGTGACAATTGTAAACAACATAGTGTGTCGTGGTTCTTGTTCGAATGGTAAAGTTTCTAGTGAGTAATCTATCTTTGTGTTATCAAGTTATGGGGATTCGATGATCATGGTGAGTGGTGATTTTCATTTAAATCCTCAGCTTTTTAGTCGATAATCAGATTTTGTGTTGGTGGTTTGAGGTACGTTTTCATGAGTTATGGAGATTATGGTAACCATCTTTCTTAAATTCCACATTTCTCTTAGTAAATCGTCCTGCTTGGTATAATTACACTAGAGTAAATTTTCTCGAGCTGTTTAATTCATTTATTTAGTATTTAACGTAGTTAATTAGAGGAAGCTTTTCCTGAATACTAATTAAGATTCGACTCGATTGATGCTTCGATTAGCTTTCGTTCAATTACAATTTAAATTCCTACGTCAAAATATTGTATCTGTATATGGTTTAAAAATAATTAAACAATTCTCGTTCAAATTAATTCTATCGCTCGAATCTTATACTTCCACGTTGAGTATCTTCTTTCCATTTTGAGTTTCTATCTGTACCGTATATTTTAATTACACCTAATATTCACCAAATGCTGAAATTTAGGATTCGGTCATTTCATTCGTTCAAGTTTTCCATTTTCAAATTTTAGATATCGAACGAGGTACACTCGATCACTATATTACACGAATACAAATGTAATCGATGGAAACATAATTCAAAATTATAATTCGTATTATAGATAATAATTGCACTAATCTTACATTCGATTTTTCATTCGGAAACGGTCTCGAGGAAGCAATTTCGAAAATAAACACTCGATCGTGGAATCGAAATTTTCCAGCACGAAGTGCATTGACAATGAATTAAGAAAGCTGGTAACCCCGTGAATCGTGCGCCAGAGTTATTCGAAATTGAATTTTCGTGGAAATTGTGTATCCGCATACGCGAAAGTGTCAAAGAAGTGTGCGAATAAGTTTTCGGTTTGAAAGAGTTCTCCATTCATCGTAGGAAATCGTGTTATGAAATTCGATTTGCCTGTTTCTCCAATAAATACCGCTTTTATCCGAATGCGACCGCCAAGGGTGACTTCGTTTGCCGAATAAAAAGAATTCGATGTAGAAAATAGAGAAAATATAAAATAGGAACAGTGGAAGTCTCGATTTTGATGGAACAAACGAATTAGGAAAGTGGCCTAAGTTTCTTTCCGAAATATTATAAATTTTCAGCTTTAAATACAGGGTGTCCCCCAAAAAATGTATACACACTTTGCGTGATTATGAAAACAGCATATATTTTACTATTTTCTATACTATATTTTAATTAAACCGTATTTGCACCTCCAGTATATTTTCACACTTATGATAGCACTTTAAAATATATTTACGTTCTTCAAAGTCTAGTCTAAAATCAGCCATTATTTCAAATGGGATGTACTTAGAAAAGAAAAAGTAAATTAGAAAGAATAAGGTATTAAAGTGTGTATACGTTTCTTTGGGACACTCTGTATATATATTATAAATTAAATACATTAATTACAGATAAAATTAAGAAGACAGTATTTAAATTTTAAAAAATGACTAAAATTGCTGTTCATCTGAAGTTTGGCGAATTGTCGATTAAATTAGCAGAGGAATACTAGCAAATTCATAAATTAATCGATATCTGTGTTCATTACGAAATCGACAATGTCATAATTAGTTACGTTATTATTAATATTATTAGGACGACAAAAGATTAGGAAGAAAATGATACAATAAGTCTAATGTATATCTACGGAAAGGACAAAGCCACGAAAAATCGGCTTTCGAATAACGAGCACGAATTTTCTACAGTTTCTACGATCTGTCAGCTTTTTCATTAAAACGCTGCCAAATGCAGAGCACCGATTCGCTCAAAGAGATATACCACAAATCGAAATAAAATTCCACCGTTAATCGTGAAAAATCCGATTGTATGATTAAAAAAGAAAATAAGAAAAAAAAACAAACAGAGGAGAACAGAGGAAGAGAGGGGAAAAAAGGAAATCTATCGGTCGAGGTTTACCGGAGATTCCTTTGTGACAAAGGAACGATCTCCACGTGGTCGTCTGAACTGATGGAACGCGTTCGAGAAAAACATCGTCTGTTCTACCAGTTAGTCCCGTTCATATTTCGATGAAAATAATTGAGGTAAAATTTACATGGCCAAAAAGAGGAAAAAAAAATAATGAAAAAAGAAGACTATTTGAAAATCGTTTAAAAGCTGAGAGAAGAAACGCGTGTGTCATTCGATTGGCAATCCCCGTGGCTGTTCGAGCTCGATTCATCGGACATTCTTCGTGGGAATTAAGCGAATTTCATAAACGTCAATTATCAAATGGGCCAGACGAAAAATTGAACATTCTGAATTTATTATCGAGTCGTGCAGGCAATTTCGCAAGGTATAATTATCGCTGTTGCATACAGAAGCGACTGTGCGTTGGATGTGTAATAGCAAGGGCACTACGCGGCCATTGAAACTATCTGCAAATGATTTTAATGGCGTATTAAATATATTTCGTGTACCGGTCAAATGATACGTTCGATATGTCGCGTGTTATGATTATTAAATTGATATTCGACTGATGCGTTAACACTGGAACAACCTAAGGGATCAAAATTTATCTATTTCAGGCATTTCATTTTGGCAGTCCCTGGAAATTTATCAACGTTAATAACAGAATTAACGTTGACTTTTATTTAACATTAGAACTACCGATCTTTAATTAATAATTAATAAGATTATAGTAATTTCAGCGATACGATGAATACGAGTGAATATATTGATTACAGTTCTGTCTTAATACGAGTTGATACCAATTTTATTCTTAAAGCAGGTGTATGTGTTCGATGATTGCAAAAAGGAAAATTCTGGGACCAGTCATTTTCACTGGGTTGGTAGTTCTAGTGTTAAACAGAAATTATATATAGGTATTCGTTTTTATCCTATCGTTGCAATTATCATCGTTTGTGTGTGTGTATTTAATTATTTAATGGTGTCCAATGGTACGTATATTAAATATGCTTTTGGTGTACGAAGTAAATTATACGACGGTAGTTCTAGTGCTGAGGATCTTTCGTGTTTAACCCTTTGCACTCGACGATTTTTTGGCTAAAGAAAAGTAGGAATAAATATAATATATTTATTATAATAATATTCATATAATAATATAATATAAAATAAGAAATCGTATAATAATTAACACGTAGAATTATTTCATTTCGATACCTCGCACACCTCGTTAGATTATCTTAAATTTCACATATTAATTAATACCGATCTTCGAAATTTTATTAAATGGCGACTGAAGAGTGCAAAGTGTCTCGAGTGCAAAGGGTTAATATATAGTTTGATAATATCGTAGATTTATTTGATATTTGGAATTTGATATGTAGGAGTACTATGCTTTTGGTATTTAATAGTACAAGAATCGTAAGAAGGTAGGTTTGTTTTAGTTCGATTCGAAGAAAGTTTAACCATTTGCACTCGACGATTTTTTGGCTAGAGAAGCGTAGAAAATCAAAGATTCTCTAGTGAAAAACTAACCTTACTTTTTTGAGCAGTAGATAAAGAATTGTGTAATAATAGAATTGCAGAGTTATTTGATTTCGATAGTTTGCACACTGTTACATTACATTAAATTTGATATATTAATTAATATCGATCTTCCAAATTTTATGAAATGGTGACTGATGGTCACCTCTCGAGTGCAAAGGGTTAATTTACCTTGTTTCCAAGTTAACACGATTTCTTGTTCATCTACGATAACAATTCGTTGTGATGGATAAGGATGCTGTATATCAATTCTCAAGGCAACCAATCTCGAATTTCTGGGGCTTAAAATTGATATCTAAATTTAGGTACTCCAGCCTCGAAATTGCTTAGGAAGCAGCATTAGATTCAAGAGAGAATGATATTTTGTGAAAACAGTGATTGATATTGATCCTCGGTAAGTGAAATTGATACGATATCAAAAATCGACTGTTCTTCGACCAAAGAATATTAATAATCGATTAAAAGGACCTCGAATTGTCTGATTATTTCTTTGCCTCCTTTTCCCACTCCTGATATTCGTGAACCGAATATTTAATGACGCGAGAGAAAAATTAAATATAATAGCAAAAAGATAAATAAACATAGCGACGAGCGTGTCAGGGTAGAAAATAAAAATTTAAACGACGTCGAGCAGATACTTCGAATAATATGACGTTTCATACGTCCACTGTTGTACCGAATAAAATTATGTTAATCTGTCATAAAGAATATCCAACACGTACAAACGGCGCATAAATGTTCTACGAAAACTCGACATTTATACGTCACATTATCACAATAATACAAAAATCCGATAACTGTCGTGATTAAAAGTAACTCAAACTAAGATGAAACATCCATTTCTAGGATGAAGACATTCTAGGCAAGAGATTAAGGAAGAATTATGAGATTACGAAGCACTTTTGTGTCTTCGATGAAAGCGTATATTACAAATATAAAAATCGCAAGAGTAAGAGATGAAAATAGTAATTCGAAGATCTGATATTATTCACATGACCTGAGATCGATATTGATAATTATACTAATAGCTGTCTAACGTGAAAATTCAACCATTTTGAGTGCAATAAATATTCGAATATCCCCTCGTATCATTTCCACGGAGAAATATATAATCGTACAAAATAAAAATGCCTGAAAATTTGCATACGATGTAAAAATGCATGAAGGCTCTTTTTCGTGACTCTCTCGGCTAAAAATAAATTGCAGCTAACCGTTAATTACCTGAAAAAGTTACGGGAGGAAGATATTCCTGACATCATTGCGCCCTTTAAAATGCAACTTATTGCCACGAAGAAAGTTTCGTAACGATAATAGAATTCCATAACGTCGCTTATACAGATTATCATGGAACAGTAGATAATGAGTAGACAGCGTCAAAAATGCGATTACGTCAATATTAACATATCCCCGAAGTTCATTCTAATTCAGAAAATTCGAAACTTGGAAAGCTCGATACTGAAATCCTCTGTGCCATGTTTTTACATAAATGAATAAATTACTGTCGCTAGAAATGCCACTTTCTCAATGCTCCAAAATTTCGTTTTGTTAATTTATCAATAAAATATATTATCACCGATGCCTTATTGTTTGGTAAAGAATTTTCGCTGGCCAAAAAGGGGAACTTTCAGAGAAATTTCTACGATTATCAGCGCGTTCACAAAGAAATGTAGATTTAACGAAACGTATAAAAAGGGTAAACAAAATTTTCTGCAAAGTTTCACGGTTTCCGTATTTTCATCGGCTAAATTATGCTGGTTTGTAGTTCTCTCTGGTTTTTATTGCATTGCAGAACTCCCTTGCGTATTATGCATATAGTCAAACGTTATTACCATTTTTCTCTAGCGCATCAGTCGGTAAAACAGAACGTGTTGCTTGAAGAATATTTTGATAAATTACCAAGAAATTTTCGAGACTGGCAGTCGCCAGTTGTAATTATTCATATTTTTCATTCTCACAATCATTCACTTACACTGCTTTATGCATTGCTACATTTCACGATCTACTATATTATAATATATCGATAACACGTTATTACGATAACTGTAATAATGCACATACCGAAGATTAATTTCGAATAAATACAGAGACGTGCCATCGGATAATCGAATCAATTAATCGAAATTACAAAATTATTTGGAAATGCTAACTGGCAACGAATTCGTTCTGTCAAACGTGAAAAAAGGGGTGGGAAGGGGGTAGGAAAGGGGGAAAAGGGGAGAGAAACGTTTCAAATGAATTAAATCAAATTGAAATTAATTTCCACAATTTGTTGGTCCATTCTTGTTAATTTCTAGCTATTACGACACTACGTGGACAGTTAGGTTGCTAGATTTATACGAAGTTCAATGCATACGAGCTATCCTACCTCATTAATATTCTCTTACTGTATCAAACCCCTGTATAATGATTGCAATTCAAAAGATTACAATGCAACGTTGCATGACAGAAAGCGTTCGCATAATAGACCATGGCATATTTGAACATCGTGATAAACGAATAATAAAACTTCAAATAATGAATTGATAATTTAAATAATCCTCCCGTCATGGTGTTTAAAGGTTAAAATATTCCCCATGCTTTCCATTGTTTCGTAAAAATAAATCTTCGCGTAAATATGGATGTACTTCATTGCTACCAGGATCTGATAAAAATATCAGTATATCTTTATACTCTGTTATGAATAATGAAAATATTCGTGACACTGTACAGCGTGAATCTAAAGCTGCAGAAAATAATTAAAAGAGAAAATTTTGTAATGAATTATGATTTTTTTTCTCATTGAATTTATCGAAAAATAATATGAAATCTTGTTTGTATAAATAAATTTGTTATTTCTAGTGAAATTATTGTAAATAAATCACGCGCCAAGTTCCTACCAGCGATTAAACGTGGCTTCATGTTCGAGGGAAAGAAAAGGGAAAAGCTTGTATGCAAAAATATTCACTTCGACCGTGAATAATAAATTTCCCTGGAAAAGCTCCAAGATAGTTGAAAAATAATCTGGAGCAGATTTTGATATCAGCGAAAAATATCGAGCTATTTATGTTCACTTTTGTCGAATTATTATCCTGTCTAACTTTGCGATATTGTGATTCGCTTACATAAAATACTGAATTCGCTTCACACGGTATTTTATTATATTACGATAACGTAAAGGATAAATTCGAAGAGGAATTTTTTTTATAATGACAAATATTTTGGCTGAAATGAAAAATATAAAATAGAGATATACACCATTATTTCACCTCAAAAGTATTAACAGTGGCTGATCTAAATTACTGGTCAAACAATTATCGTAACGAGTATTACGAACATTATTACAAATTGAGCAACGAATTATTAGAAAGAAATAATAATGATTAAAAAAAAGAAGTATAAAATATTCAGTATTCCCTACTATTCTTTATTCTGATTATTTTTAATATTTTCTTCCATGTTATTAAGCAAGTTCTCTTAATTACCGTAATTCGCTGAAAGCAAAATATAAAAAACAGAATATGAATATAAAGTAAAACCACCAATGGAAAAAGAATTCTTTGAAAAGAAGTGAAAATAAGGCCAATGCGAAATGTGCTGTTGAGTTAATATTTATATTTGCTAACTATAAAGACAATGTTATAAACGATTGAAATTTCGTGTCTTAGGTTTTTAAGACATAAATTATATAAATGGTTCATAGAGCTCGATCTGGACTACTTGGAAAGGAGAGGAAGCGAGACAATAACTTGTGAAAACGCCGAAAGTGGATCGAAAGAGGAAGAAAGCCCCGCAGACACTCTGGATCGTGTCAAAGTCGTGTTTCTCGGTGCACCTAGGGTGGGAAAGTCCAGCATAATTAGGGTGAGCACTGATTTCGTTGAATCAAATCGAAATGCACACGTTTTACTAGACAATTTTCAAATTAGGTTCAATTTTCGTTTTCGATTTAGCTTTCAAACCTGATACTTTTCCTAAGTTCTTCGATATTATCATTGAGAACTAATTATATTGCACCAATTGATAAGGATAAACGTGATAACAATTTCTAAATTAAAGCTATTTAATCCAATTGTAATTTTAGTCGATTAATTAACTTAACTTTAACAATGTTACGTAATTTATTGAATTTCTACCAATACCGCAAGCTTAATTTCATTTTCGATTATATAACGATTCTAATCCTCATGTTGTTATGTTCGAAATTATTATATTATAACTACGTTGATTTAGAATTATGCACGAATAAAACTAGCGATCTCTAGTTACTACATGTACAGGGATTCTGATTTTTAAACGAGAATGCTGGGATTCCGACACTTCGATTTCTCCTCAAAAGCTATTGGACTATTAATACCGGTTTTAAAAATATTAATTAATACTATACCTAACTTTTATAACTTTTATTATCTAAAAAAAAAAGTTTTAAACAGAACAACATAAAATCGATTAATTTGCCTACAGCCACCTTACCTTCCCTTTCAAAAATCTAACGATCTAACAACACTGATAATGCTCGAATTGTTATCTAGTCATATTAAAATACAAAAATGGAATTTTTTAGGAGATAGAGAAATGTAAAATTTCTTTCCTTCCAAAATAAAGTTTACAATGCTAGGAAGTTTTCTTTGAATTTCATTGTAAAACTCTATTGAATTTCTTGAACAGCCTTTAAAAAATTTCTAGGAATGTGAAAAGTTAGGTACACCATGGCGAACTTGTCGAAAAACATTTTTACCTTAGAACAGAGTTATTTCTCGATTCATCTTGCACACGCCTTCATAAAACGCTGCTACCTTGTCAATTAGATGCTAAATTTCCTTAGGATACTAACTAGGAATACGTCACTTATTAACTCGTTCAAACTTTCCCTCTCTAATGTAAGAAGACCGTCGAAATACGTCTCGTGTCGACCAACCTAACCTGCTTTCCGTGACCTCTGGCGCAGCTTCCGGCAACTTCGCGTATCGTTCGAAACAATTGAAAGATCTCGAACGTGACGAAGAACTATGAACCGTAGACTAATGGCGAGAACACGCAACACAACTATCTTGTAATTAAGCACAACTACGCCGACGAAAGCTGCACTTCCGCGAGATATTTATCGTCATATCCCGCATTCAATAAATACGCCTCTGCGAGCTGATAAAACCTTGCTATTTCATAGAGCAGAATGAAATTTGCGATAGAAAATTATTTCTACGACACTTCCTTATTTCCCTTCGCATATTTCCTTTCACAAAATTTATTCGATTTCTTTGTACGCGTGTATGTATTTACACCAAAGTAAATGCCAAAATTTATAAAATATTTATAATAGTACGTTATATATAGAGGGTGTTTAGGCATTACTTTTTAATTTAATTAATTTTAAATTTAATTGCAGAAAAAACTGGGACACCCTGCATAAGTATTCTTCGAATAACATGATAGTTGGATTCAGAAAAATGACGTATCATGTAACGATGAAAAATAAAATTAAGTTCGAATAATGAAGAAAAGTGTACTATTTTGTTTATTGTAAGTTGTGTATTGTTAAATTAATAGAAGTAGTAATTAATTATATCGGTTTAGAATATTCTAAGAAGAATAAAATATGATTTGTCATTCTTCATTTTATTAAATTCCAGTAATATCTGAAATTATTTCTTGTTTAAATGATGCATGGAAAAATGTAAAGTACAAAATATTTTGAGTTTAAAATAAAATTTCTACTACTCGAGGGAAAGCGAGGGAAAATAAGAGAATAAAAAAAGTAGACCTGTTAACACGTTTCAAGACTACGGTTAAAGACCACGATCGATGTTCGTAAAAGCTCGCTTGGGATTCGAAGACGTTACGAGTGACTACATTTTTTACGAATACTCCTAAATAAACGACTGTTTAGATAATAGAATTTCGTAAAACAGAAGAAATTACGATATTTGAAATATATTCAATGATATGATGATGATAATGATATTCATAATGATATGAAAATGATAAAAGATTGTTTAAAGGAATGATGAAATTGATTCTGTCATAAAATTTGCTTAAATATAAGAGGATTCAAATATAACTACAAAGTCCCTAAATCTATTTAAAACATGAACTTAGATAAAATAAAATAGAATCTATAATTCACATAAATTTGTTCTTAAATTATTAAAAACTATTAAAAGGTTACAAATAAAAACAGTGTAAAATTCTCTACTAAAAATTAAAAACATTTGAAGACAAAAATAAGTACTAAATGGTATCGATATTCTTGCAATCAATAAAATGATGAGAGCTTCAAAATTTTGGTTCAATTGTGACGAACGTCGCTTTACAAGATGTGAATGACTTCCGCTCATTTCCGGGGCCAGTTTCCGGTTAACTGTCGTCTCTTGAGGAAATTGAAAGTCGTTGAAAGGGGAACACGGAAAATTGCATCGGGAAGTATGTCGAATACAAGATTTTTCCATTAAATTTCAATTCTATTATTTAAATTTTACTGAACTAAATGAAAATTTGTTCAATGAAGAACTTAAAAGGATTCTCTTCAAAATATAAATGTATGCTCAAACTTATATCACTAATATGATATAAATGTTCTAAAATAAATCATTTATAGTATAATAAACTATAATAACCACAGTGTAATTCTCTAGCTACCAGAATAAAAAATTCTAGTTTCGGTGATTTAATTGTTTCCAAAATATTAAAAAAAAAAAATATTTCGATACTGCATATGGAATTTTTAATTTTAATTCACGTGAGCAACAGCCTAACCACGGTCAAAATATTAATCTTGCCTGATCCAATCTAATCTATATAAAACTAATTACTGGATACAATTAAAACTAAACATAGTCTAAAAAGTAGCAGTCGATTTTAGATGAGGCAATTATAAATCCTGAAGTCGATATCAGTATCGTGTCGTCGATTGTTCATTGCAAACGGCAGCAATGGCAGCTATTACTATAACAAAAACAATTATATTAGTAACGTCTTTATAGACAAAATTCTATGTATAATATAAATATTTGTTTTCACTAATATTTTGAAAATTATTGGATTCCCGAAATTGTATACTTAGAGCCTCCTTCCTCTTCCTCCAAATTTCGTATTGATCAACCGCCATTCGGAAGTAACCCTAAAATAAAAACAAAAATAATTAGTAATTTTAGTAGCACGTCTTCGATTGATAATTTCAGTTTTTTATCATTTTCAGCACAGTATCAATTTTCTAACTGATCTATACTAATATCGTATTATTAAAGGCTTAAAAAACAAAATACATACACAGATTTCTTTTTTACGTAATATTTCCAATACATCGATATGTATAGGGAATCAGACGCAATAGATAATAACACATATATACTCGACCACGTTACATTTCGGATATATTGGAGTATCGAAATTCGACTCACCTCTGTTCCATATCTTATCAATTTTTCTATTATCCAAAACAATGTAGTCTACGAGTCCGCCATTACCATGGAGTAATGCTTCCGTAAACCAAAGAGTCCCCTCTCCCAAGTATCAATAAATTTTATTGCATTCTCCCACTTTAAATTGTTCATTTACTTTTATAGCCTCCTATAATTCCGAACGATTATTTTACAGGGTATTATGTTCTTTAATAAATCTGCATCTGAAATAACCTAAATATTGCATCTTTACTAAATTTTGATTTTACATCCTGCTTTACTTCAAAAATAGGAAAGCAAAGTACATATATAGTGTTAGAATCATGTAGATTTTATATATTCATGTATTACCTCACAAAAATTTTTCCGAGTATAAAATTGTGCTGATTGAATAGAATAGATGAAACTAGACCACATAAATTTTAGCAATATTTTTCCATTTCAACATAAATGACTTAGATTAAATCAAAGAAGTAGCATTATATTATATAGTTTAATATATAATATTATTATATTGCACATATAAATATATTAGTGTGGTGTTTAGTTCTAATATAAATTTTGATATACCTAACCTCAAAATGAAAATAAATCATGCTCAGTTTTTAACATTCGAAGCACTTGAAACTTTGAAAAACATTACATCGTCACATATTAAAGGATACATCATAATTAATACTACACTAGTTCCACGAAGCTAACCTAAACCACCAAATACCAAAGTAACCTAACAATCAAATACGAAACTAACTTAACTCGTCAAATCTACGCCTCGATAACTCGAACAAATCGTCGATTGTACATTGCTTTTAAAACCGATCGATGGCTTTTGAATCCAGCAATAAATCCCAGAATTCTCACCGTTTATTTCTATTAACGAAAACGACAATTCGAATCACAAACTGGCAGCGGTGTTAGTACTCGTTTATGGGTTTCAGCAATTCGTGTGGAGCGAATTCTGCGAAGAATACAAACCGACCGAGCGTAGAGAGACTTTCTATCCGAGTGTAGTACTCGCCGATCGTTTGTACGAACTGAAAATCACAGACCTACCAATGATCCCGTATTTTCCGGTCAGCTCACACCTCGAATGGACGGATTTTCGTTATTACGGACTACGAAGTGCAAATGCTTACGTTCTCGTGTTCGATCTCAGCAATCAGGACACGTTTCAGGTATGTATGCACCTGTGTATCTATACATGTGAATAAATACATTACGATCGTTGTGAAAGACGCGCCATCTGTTAAGCAGGAAGGTAATTACTACTCAGGTTACCTTCGAAGACAATAGGATAAAACTATTTTTATTGGTAACCTTTGTTTTTTCGTATCAATACAAAATATCAACACATGCATCCATTATACCTTTCTATACTACGTACAATTTTTGTATGCAATTAAAATCTGAATAACAAGAATAAAGGACTGTAAAATATAAATAAAATTAATTCCTTATTAATAGATCTTCGGTGAATTGTATTTATAGCTGTCAATTTTCTTTACCTGAAATGCCTTTTTTAAAAGTTCCAAGTAAACGTGTTTGTCCCTGAGAATCTCTTTAAAAAGATTTTTCCACTCCAGTTACCGTCAGAACCCCATTTCATTACGGACCTTTCTTTATGCTTAACAGGGGGACGTGGGAGAAAGGAGGGTGATGAAAACTTTCCTTATTCTATCTTTGTTGTGATTATCGTCTTTCTTTATAACCTCTTATTGTGAAATGGAAAATATGCACAAGCCTAAAACAATACATTTGAAAATTTTCATCACAAAATTTGTTTAATTCGTCATTATGTCCAGCATCTTAATGAACATACCGAATCAAAGTTTATGTCCAAATTTTGTTGAACTTCATATAACTTCAATTACAGAAATATGCAATTTGTATCTTTTACTTGAAATGATTTTCACGTTAAATATATTAAAAATATTTTTTTTATTCTTTTAAATTTATTGAAACATTAGACATTTTTTTTACTATTTTAGTATTAACAGTGCGAGATATAAAATCACGGTTCCAATATTACGACATTATGAATATATTTGTCCACGTGAATAACGAAATCAAGACTCACGCATTATAATAATATTATTAAAATCTTTCATGTTGTACGTTTTTGAAATATCTTTTCCTTCTACTCGGAATAATATTATGAGTTTGATCATTTTCTTCTCCCATTCTATCATCTTCACTAAAATTATATATTCGATTTTTCCGTCACTAAATTGAAAGATTAATCTAAAAAATCGATTTCATATTTTTATATTTTTTGTTACTATATTAATTAAAATAATGGTATAATGTAATAGGAACAAATAGTTGAGTAAAATCTATCGCAAAGTTAATATCTGAAAGTAAATACGTATTAATTAAAAGAAAATAAATAACATTGAAATATATTACACATTAATATAAATGTATTATGAAATATAATAACAGGAGAATACTTATCTTGCCTTTAAATTTCATTTATATTGAAATAGCTTAATTTCTGACACAGTATATTAGAACGTTACGAGAACAAATCTACGAGGCACGAGACATGAGGGGTGTACCGTTATTGGTAGTCGGGAACAAGCAGGACGAATTGTCGCCTGCGGCTGCTTCCGCATCTCGCTACAGGGACATCGTTAATCTTGTTCGAAAGCACTGGCGATGCGGCTATGTCGAATGTAGCGCCAGATTCAACTGCCGTGTTGTACAGGTACAGTATAAAAATCCATTATTAATCTCATTTTATAGTTATACCGGTGTCATTTTACGAAACGATTTCAAAGTCCTATCATCCAGTTAAATATCAGAGAAAATATTCCCTCAAACATTCTTGATTAATAACCAAAAAACATAATGTTTAAATGATTACAAAGAAGACTTTTCACACAAAATCTAGTTTTAAATACTTTCAAAAGGATACAAAGAAATAGAAAAATTTGTAAGAATTCATACAAACTATGCAGAGTTTTTCTAAACACATATGAAACACATTAGAGATTGTGAGGTGCTGTAAAGATTCTACATGTTGTATAAATATCATTCACATCCTATGTCTACAAGATATCCAAGATAATAAAAATAGAATTATAATATCAGATCTTTTACAAGTGCTTTATTTACACAGTAATATGAATTTATCATATATATATATATATAAAAAAAAAAATACTTGTCCATTAACAACGCATTTTCGGTTGCTTAAATTATAAAACATAAATTAAACTGAAAAACATAAAAAAAAATAAATCCTTTAACATATATTAATGATTTACCAGAATCAAAAGAAAGTTGAAAATAAAAAACGATAAACCGTAACGCTATATACGCAAAGACTTAATTAATATGTGTCTATCTTGGAAAGTTATTCGTAATATTTATTTGTTCCCATTCATTGCACCTCCATGTGTATCAAACTGTTGATGATCCGTATTATGTTTTTTCGTATTTTCCTGGATTTTTGTTTTATTATTTTGGTCAATACGATTTAATTGTTGCCCAATAATTAAATCTTTATTATTTGAAATAATAAGTAATTTGTCCCACATTGTTTTGTAAGCTCTGCCATGTTCTTCCAGCTTTTAATTATTCCATTACAATCCTGAATAATGATTGGTCTTTGAACATCATCATCAGATATTGTGGTTTCTGAATCAGATTCAGAATCTACCATGCTACAAATATTATTTAGATTATCGTCTTCAGAAATTGACTGATTTTCTCCTTTCATTGGTCTATTTTGATTTAAACCTTGTTCATCATTATATGATTACACAAATGTACTTCAGAAGGTGCATGCTGAAGGTTTTTCAAAACTTATTTTATTTTGTACCTACAAACTATTATTCTTAGCATGCTTATGTTATTCATTCAAACCTCTCTATGAATTCTGTTCAATGTCCACCCATAAATCATAATAATCCACAAACATATCACTCATCACGTAATTTAAATCCATCTTTAACTGACCAATTGCGATATCAAAAGCGTCGAACGCATGTAAAAAATCACATGCCAACACTGGTGGTTTTCTACCATAATATGCTTCATGACATCTCACGGTACGTTCACAATCTAAAAGTTTAGAGATTAAATCATCTACGTATTTTGCCATATCTTGTTTGAATTTTTCAAAAGTTTTCTGCTTCCGATCGTTTTTCTGATCGTTTTGTATATTTTGCATTTGACTAGTACTTGAAGTTGGAGATGAAGTTGAAGAATTAACATAATATACAGGAGAATTTTCTTTGTTATGTTTCATTTTATGTTCTATACGTTCCTTATTGCACGTACAACTATCACATGTAAGTGTATTTGATTTTTTATTATTAATTTTATTTCTGGATTTTCTTTCCTTCTTTTTCTTCTTAATTGCAATGTTCTTATTATCATCCTTATCTTGTGGTATTATAGATTGAACTTTATTATTTGAATTACCTCTTACCAGACTGTTTTTATTACATGTCACCAAACTTTCCTTCCCTATTCTTCTGTTATATACCGGTATATCAAAATCTGTTTCAGAAGAACTAGATGACAGATTAATTATTTCATTTGCATGATTTTCTTTTCTGAAACAAAAACATCATTTTCATATTATTTTCCTTCACTTGTAATATTTACTAGTTATATTGTATAAAAGAATTAATAATAAAGCTATACATATATTTCGAAACTGCTTATTAATTATAATTATAAAAAACTTACTTGTATACAGGAAACATAATACTTGATTATTTAATTAGTCAGAAGAATAAAAACGTTAAGCAAGAGACCTTTAGTTCACTCGTATTACACGTGCTCAACTGTAATATTCAAAACGTAACAGTCAATGCTACCAACGTATAATTACTACCATCATCTATAACATTGAACTAGAACTGCGTATCGAAACACATTTCAAACTTGTATTATAAATACGGTATATACTTTTGTTTCTTTGTAACATTCCTTATTTAGGGCATAAAAAAACAAAACCTATGACCTTATGAGGCAGATTTAATTATTACATTACGAAAAATTTACATTCTCGTCATTAAGAGTGGTCACTGAAATTAGCATTTCGAATAAAAATTTTGTTTATCCTCCAGTATTCACATGTTAATTGAAACGTAATTATGATGAAAATGTATTATATCGTACAAAAGGAAATGAATACAATTTTCATTTATAACGAAAAACAACACTGCTTGAGACAAATGATATGTTTATACGGTGATTTTCGTCAAGACACATGGAAATTATTCTGAACATATCATGTGATTTCGAATTATGTAAACAAAATATAAATTTTCCGAGATTGAATGATCAAGTCAGTTTGATATATAAGGTTATTGGATGTGTTTTTCGTACTCTACAAGGGTGTAAAAAAAAAATATACGGCATTACTTAAAAAAATATCGGTAATCTTGAATTCTTGTAAAAAAATAATTCTAATCTAAGTGTCCCTATTTAAATGGTCCAAAATTATTTTTGTAAGGTAGAGTACATTTCTTTTTTCTAACCAACAGGTATTCCGTGAATTAATGAAGAGTATCCAAGCTGTAGAAGGTAGACCACCTTCTCCTACACCAGCACCCTCGCAACCTTTACGTTCTCACCCGCCCGACACCAGCGAAAAATGTATTCTTCTCTGACATTGAAGCCGGAAAATCAACGTACTCGACCTCTGTGACCACATCATCAAAAGAAGTTGCTTTTATCCGTACCACAACACAGGGTCGTAGCTGATTTGAGCTAGAAATCCTTAATCTGAAAGCTCAACTCCTTCAGGAATCTTGAAATAATTATTCCTGGGACAAATCTAGTCAAGTTGTAATCCGAGACACGAACCTCTTTGGTCCGGTAGTCGATAATGCAGATTGTATTGTGACTGTTCGAGATATCGAGGTCTTTCATAAGAAGCATAGTCACTAATTATGCATCAATGTAAAAAATTCTAGATTTAATACTGTTTTCTTGCTATTCTTATAAATTGAATGCTACAAGTACAAAGTGAAACGAGCAATGAAGAATAGTTTTATGGTAAAATGATTTTATTTTTATCTTTTTATAAATTTTAATGTTGCAATGGTCGGTTGATATTTTTTGTGAAAGATCTCCCAAAGCTCATGAATTATCAGTATTAGTATACCTGCGAGAGTAAGAAATTAATAACGGAGGAAGTGCTGAATATAATTAACGAATCGAGGAACCTTCGGATCTCGTCTGTGAACATTTTCACCGAAGCTGCTCATTGTGTAACTTTAACACTAAAAAATAATGCAATCATGTTGTACAACTGCACTTTTGCGTCGAGAGCGACAAAAAGGTTGCAAATACGTATGTAGGTACGAAACCAACTGCCGAATCCCTCTACGTACAATATAATTTTATTGCTTTATTTTATAATTCGCGCTGTAAATACGTCATGCAATCGTTGTATTCCGTTCTAGTCAATCAGTATTACGTAAATGAATTATGTCCGTTCAAAATCTCTATTTAGGATTTATTTCAACTTCTACGAAAGCCGCACCGTGTATATCAGAAGTTGCTTCAATTTTGCAAAATTATTTAAATAATTGTATAGAATTGTTAATTTAAAGTTGCTAGTTAAGACGTCGATTTATTTATAGGTAAAAATTGACCATTTTTCATGAATCTATAAAATTATATTTTTTCGGAAGAATTATAGGATCTGTATACAAACGTATCAAATTTTGCTTTTGTTCGTGATACGTTTTACTGTATAGTTTGTTGCCCCATTACTATATTACACTTCGAGTATACGAAATGATTTTTTTAATTCATTTTCCAATAATGCATTCGGCCTAATAATAATAATATTAATACTAATAATAACGACAGTAATAATATTAATAATTACGGCGATGATAATAACGAATAAATAAATGTAATAATAGCGTGTTATTGAGAGTTACCTCAGATCAAGCAATAGTGTATACAATATACGTATATATTTTACTATACTGTTAAGGGATTAATTACTAGCTGATAAGTGTAGCTGTTGATATTGTGAAATACTATACACCTACACATATACAAATCTCTGAAAAGTGTGTGTTAACCATTGTTGCCGTTTATACGTACTTTAACGCAAAACCAATTGTTATTGGCTCAACAATTAAACCACTAATATGAAACCGATTCTAATTAACAAGGTTTGACGGTCATTCTACGATCGTTTGAAAGTTTTTATGTTAATTACCATTACGGCATGTTATGCCAAGAATCAATTGTTAATTTCCGTAATCAATTTGTTGTACAACACACGCGTAGACTACGCATATTGAATATACGTAAGTGTTGAATATATCGAATAGAGTGACATATAAACTGTACATTACGTAACATACAAACATGTGTTCGTTGGAAAAAATGAAATCTTTGTACCGAAATAGTGAATATAGACAAGGTACAGAAACCTCGACGCAAATTTGTACAGCCATCGGGAGTGCGTCGAGTAAGCGTCGTTTTACATACAAAATACCACGCATTATTTTGTATGCAGGAGTAACGCAATAAAAAAAAGAAGAATCGAAAAATATATCGAGTTTTATAAATCTTCTATATACCCCTCGCCCTCCCCCTTTTTTCGTTTAATCGAATTATTTTGCGAAATCGTAAAAATATTATTAATGTGCCGAAAAGAAATACATTGGAAAATAAGAAATGCTTGATTATTGTGTATTTATCTAAAAGAAAAATGTACCTCATAAAACTTTAGGATATAAAGGAAGGTGGAAAACAAAAGAATGTCTCAGCCCAAATGTTGCAACGAGAAATGTCATTATAACACGACCTGTCGTCTTTTAATTGGAAATCAAGCAATGACTAAATTTCGTATTTTATTCTACAGAAATAGATGTACATAAAAATGAAAATGAAAGACAGTGACAAATAATATGGTGCATTGGTTTCGCTGTACAACAAGCTTCCACCATGAAAGTGATTTCCGTTTAAAGACTTTCGTGCGAGACAAATTTTGGAAAGATGCTTCAAATTTGGCGAGGATTACGAGTCCTGAACTTGCGAACGGTGATTCTAGAAAATGCGAGGAACTGCAGCGACGCTAATTTTCCAGGACAACGACACGTATTGACGGTTGGAATCGATTTACCGATGTACGAGGTTACTCGCAACCAATTTGCTTTTCGAAATTTTTATACTGTCGGTATTCCAAAATTCGGAGATGATAAATCGAAAGAGAATATAATACTATTCGTTCTTTCGGATATATTACGATATCTCCCTCTGATCATAATAAATCATTTCCATATTCCTCTAAGACAGTAATCCTTTATCCTTCAATTCATCTGTAATATAATAATTAATAAATAAATTCGTTACGAGCCCGAAGAATCGTTCAATATTTAAAAAATACATAAATAATCACATTTTCTTTTTCATCGTTACAAGCTGTGTTATACTTTTGCAAGGATATGAAAGAATGAATTAAATGTTAAGGTGAGTACAACGAGAGGAGTTCCTAGTACAAGCATAGACTTGAAAGAGGCTTTATGTGAAAAGATTCCAATACACTATGATCTGCTGCGAAATTTTCGTCAACGATATGGATCCTCGGTGATCAGCCATATAACCGTAGAAAATATATACCAAGGATTAAATGGGGTGAAAACCATGGTCAGAGAAACGTCTGAGTTGGACCCAAAATACGGGGTGAGTATTACCATGTCGTTGTTTTTATTTTATTTATTTTCTCGATTTATACTGTTTCGAAAATTGATCAAAAAATTTCTGAAACAAAGTTAAGAATGGAAAATGGTATTTTTCTATAGATTAGATATAGAGGATTAACAATACCGGAAGTCGTTACACTCTTACCACGACAGGGAAAGTCACCAAGCCCGGAAGCTGTATTTTGGTTATTGTTAACTGGTGATGTACCAACACAAGAGCAAACAGCATCACTAATTGCTGATTGGTCTATGCGACGTCAAAAAAGGAAGGACTGGTGGTCAGGTCCTGGTGGTGGAACTGTTGGTTCCGTACTTGGAAACTTGCCGAAAACAACGTCACCCCTTGAAAAACTATCGGTGGCTCTTACCGTCTTTGACTCTGGCAAACATATAAAAGCAGCTTTAAAAAATGGCGCTTTAAATCATACTCATTGGGAAGTGAGTTCTAACTCTTATGAGTGAAATACAATTAAATGTAATTTTATAGCGCACCACCGAGATATAACAATAAGCATTTAGAATTTAAAATTATATCATTCAATTAGAGTTAATAGCTAATTTCACTAGAACTAAAATTCCTTCGCATTGGATAATTTGAAAAAAGAATTAAACATAATTCGCGTTGAAATTATGGCATAAGAAAAATATATACATCAAATTTAAGTAGTCAAATCAAAATCGAATATTTAATTTTAATTTTAACAAGAATGAAAATTTATTATTTATGAAGTACGTGTATGAAGATGGTATGGAATTGCTAGCAACGCTGCCAGCAATAATTGGCCTAATCGCAAGAGGCGAATTGAAGAACTTGAATGAAGAAAGCGGTGACTGGATACAATTTTTATCGGGATATTTATGTAACGCGTTTAATATTTCGGAAAACAAGAAAAATTCGATGGTGGAGTTTCTCCGATTGTATGTTCTTCTGAATGCGTAAGTACATTATCTTTTTGATTTAAAGGAATTAGAAATCGAGATTTTAAGAATATATTTAGAAATATTGTTTCCCTCTTTTTAATACGAAATTACGCGCAACTTTTAATTTGTTTAATTTGTATTATGAAATACCTTTATAGCGATGAAAATGGCGGAATTCCCGGCGTTCATGTTACAGAAATACTGGGATCTTCACAACTGTGTATTAATCAAGCTCTTGCGGCAGGAGCTTTAGCATACGCTGATGAACCTAAAAGCGGCACAGTATCACAAGTAAAGTGAATGATTTTGATAATAACTAAAAGGATTAATACTGGTCGACAGATCAGTAACTATTTATAAATAATTTATAACATTATATAATTCTTAAATAATTGGAATAGTATATGGAATTCCAATCGAAAATACAACGTCTCTTTGGTCAAGAAACGAAAGAAGACAAGTTGAGGAATTATGTAGCCACTTTGATTAAAAGAGACAAATTGATTGGTTACAAAAAAGCAAAATTTTGCGATCCGAAATACACCGTACTGATAAATTATGCAAGAGATTATTTGCCAAATGATTACAATGTGAAGGTATATATATATATATATGAGTTGTATATACATATAGAATTCCAGCCTAATTGAACTGTATAAAAATTATTAATTATTATTATTAATTTAAAGAATATCATTTTATACCTTATATAAATATATCGTAATCACGATAGTTTGTTAAACAAACAATTATACGTAAAAGGAATTGATTATTTCGAACTTCAAAGAGTTTTCAATTAATAAAATTATTTATTATTTCTTTACTTTTTTAGTTATCGCAAACTATCACTCATTTACTTACTACAATGGTGAAGAATATTTTTCCCGAACAAAATGCAATTGCTGGACCTACCTTTCAGGTATAATAACGTTTTATTATTTTAATCGTTGCCTATGATTATAACGCATCGTACATTTATTATATGTGCTTTTAATTATTCAAGTTCTATGGATTAAGAGACATGAAATTCAATCAAGTATTATTGTGTATGTCGCGTGCGCTGGGTGCAGTTGCATCAATTATTTGGACAAGAGCCGTGAATGCCACTGTCGAACATCCAACATCTAAATGCACTCACACATATTTAAATTCTATTCAAGGAACACGAAGAAAACCTAAACGAGGAAAGAACGTAAAATCTACTCGAAAATAAAATTTGTTATATTTTGTGTCATATAATGTTGTTAATTATAGCATTAAACCTAATGTATGTATAAACGTGAATTTTTATTTGGTTAACTTAACCCCAATAATGTAACACACTCTAAGATTGCGAGGTTCATCTAGAGAAATATAATTTTAAACCTGACACTTACCACTCTAACTCTGTTGGTAATACCGACGGTTTGATTACTAATAATACTAAAGAAAATGGCGTAATAATTGAATACTTCTATATGTCAATAACTATTGATCAATATTTTTAAATTTTCTATAAAAATACGGTATTGCAAAAATGGTAGTGTATTTCAGTGAGTTTTAATAAATAATTAAATATTAAACTGTTAGATGAACGATATAAGATTCTAGTATGTTGACTTATATGTTCTAATATTTAATCTCCGGTAGCGAAAATGTTTCTTAGTTTAGTATACGTCTTACAGATTTTTGCAATAATATATTTAATAAGAATTTAATTGTCATTTGCATTTCTAGGTACTAAGATTCGGAACTATTGTACCTAATATTTTTGGATGTTCGCATAGGATAGTACGAAATGTTGCGGCTTATAATTTAGAGAATTTCGATATAAATGTCGTTCACGACCGAATAAGTGAAAACGACGATGGTCATTCACATCATCAAATAACTGACGCACAAAACGAACATCGTCATTATCGAACATCTGCAACGAATAGTTCTTTAAATAATACTCATGAAGCTAGAAATGAAATTGTGAGTGAAAGTCAAAGCAATAATAGTAATAATGTTATTAATCATAACAATAATAACAATGCTAGAGAAGTACATTTAACAAATGATGAACAACAATATATTAATTCTGAGATATGTGCACTCTTTAAAATATGTAAAACATATATTCTTTTTGCTTGTATCCTACTTGCCAAAGTCCTATATGATTACAAAGCCAAAATAATAAGTCTCATGATAATAGTTGTTACATTTACTAGTGCTAATAACAGTATAAAACGTGAAATTGCAAAACAAAATGATAAAAGCTGGCTCTCACTCTCATTTATTACATGCTATGTTGTTGGATGTATAATTTTTATTCGTTATGAATATGACATACGTATATTTTCTCTATATGTACAATCTCTTACCATTTGGGAACTATTATGGTCAGTTTTAATAAGAGATTTCATTTTGAAATTAATTACTATTCTTTTTAAAGTATTTTTAACATGTTTGCCTTCAGGATTTCTCACAGTTAGAAAAAGGGTAAGTTTTACAATGTAATTATTCAATAATGTTAATTAATTCAAAGATTTAATGATAATTCTGCTTTTTAGAGAAAATATTTTCTTTTAGTAGAAGCAACATCTCAACTTTATCGATGTATTGCATCTATCCCACCATGGTTATATTATTTTTTAGAAGCTTATCAAGGTTCAGAAAGAATATTTGGAATAATACTTTTTCTGTTGTATATAGTAAATAAAGGAATTGATTTGTTACCCCTAATAAAATTCTTTCTAACTGCCATTCAGAAGTTGCTTTCAAATATGGTATGCTTCATCATTTTTTTATATGTAAAAAAAGTCAAATTTATAAATCGATTAATAATTATTTATCTTCTAGGATTTAGGTGTACTACCATCAAGGAAACAATTAGCAGCATCGAGCGGAATATGCGTTATTTGTACTTGTAAATATTCTAATCCTATAAGACTGACTTGTAAACATATTTTTTGTGAAACGTGTATTTTAACATGGCTGAATCGACGAAGTTCGTGTCCGTTATGCCGTACAATAATCGTGAATAATTTTATATATCAAGATGGCCATACAAGTGAATTTATTCAGATTCCTTGATTTTTATAATTAATATATGAAATCATATTTTTCTATTCTTATATTCGTACGAATTTGTATTAAACATTTAATTTGAATAAACAAGAGTTTTTTTAAATGCTTTATAACAATGTTATTTTTACATGAGTCACTTATTTTGATATTTGTAGCAGAATGACCTATACAAACCAATTTAGTCAAGGAAAGTTACTAAAGATAATAAATTTCAAAAATATCTAATACAACTTGTACATAACAAAGTAAAATTTGTATTTTGAAAATGATTTACCAATTGCTAATTAATTTTTTATTTACGAAAATAATGTAACCAATTTATCGAATTAATGAATAATTACAAATTTTCTTTAAATGTATTACTACATTACATTCAGTATCTTTATAATGTATTCAAAGGTGTGGTATTTTTACTTCATATATAACAGTGAACACGAATAGTCACAATATGAAAAAAATATAACTATATAAAACTTGCTTAGAATCTAAATTATGTTCGTTGTTGATCATATTTCAACATTTGGTCATTAACGTTGTAGATAAAACGTTATGTGCATGTAATATAATTAAAATCATACTGTAGACAAGTTTCATTAATGTACAACATATAAGTATTTTCTCTGAGACATTATAAAACATATTGTCTTACAGGACTTTAACACTGACAATAAAGTAATTATTATATAAGGGTAATTTTTTTAGCATACATAGAAAAATAGTTCATAAAACATTGGCCTTCAAGCGTGCTTGGAAGTACTCTCCATCTCCTTTAGTTGCTTGCTTATTTATCTCTTTATGACGTTCCTTACTCACTAGTTCTTCTAAGACTTCTCCATCACCTTTAATTAACCTGTAAACATGTTAAATAAGATACATACTATACTCTCATATTAGTAATAATCTATTTATAGTCTTCTTGTAAAGATACCTGTATCTTCCAGTTTCTTCATCATAAACTCTACGTATTACACTTTGTTTCTTTTCCCATTCTTCTTTTGTCATTGGTGCCATTGCCTTTGATTTTTCTGACACTTCCTGTGAAATATCTTTTGAAATACTTTCTTTGGATTTATCAATATTTCGTGATTTCTTTTTAGATGATTTTTTCAATTTCTTCTTTAATTTTTTCTTCATTCTTTTCTTCTTTCTACGCTTTTTCATAGCTTTCTTTAGTTTTTTGGCTTTCCTTCTTGCTTTTTTACGTTTTTTCTCATCTTCAGAGGTTTCTGTACTACTACTACTATAACTACTGCTGCTACTGCTAGTGCTAGAACTGCTGCTACTACTGTCACTACTAGTGCTACTAACACTTGAGGAACTAGAAGATGATAAAGATCTTTTCCTCTTTGATTTTTTGCGAACAATGTGATCAGTCTTTTCTTGAGTGTCTTCGTCCCTTTTCTTTTCTTTTCCTTTTATATGAGTGTCATCTGTATCTTTCCTCTTTAATTCTGTTTTATCAACATTAGCTTGCTTTAGATATCTTTCTTTTGATTCACTCTCTCTAGAGTGTTCACTAGAATCTTTTAAGTTTCTTTGATGATCATGATCCAAAGTGCTCCTACTTCTAGACCTATCATAAGGAGGTCTTCTACTATTATGATTTAAAAATCTATTACCCCTCCTTTCATTATTATACCTATTGTATTGCGAATTGTTGTGTCTATTTCTATCATAAAATCCAGTATGTTTATAAGGTCGATAACCAAAACTACGTTTACGATTATCTAGGTACCCACTCCGTCCTTTATAATATCCTCTGCCTTCTCTTGGATTCGGCCTATATGGTCTAACACCATTTTCATATCTTTTATCCCACTTGTCGCTCCTCCTGTCTCTATCATTTTGATGTTTAGCCTCACGGCTAGAGGCACTAGAGGAACTGGAGCTACTAGAACTACTTCTATGCTTTGACTTTTTCCTTTTATCTTTACTACATCCTTTTATCCTTACACATATCCTATTTCGCCTCTTTTTCTTAGAGTCAGAATCGTCAGTCAGTGAGGAAACCGACTGCTTTCTTTCTCTTTCTTCCTTCGATTTAGTGCATTGCTCTGATCGCAAATCACCTTTCTCTTTATTACTCATTGTAACGTTTTATTAATTTTCTAAATTAGTTAAATTTGTATTAGACTTAAATATTGTCTTTTAACATTTATTTACCGTTCCTATCGTATCGATGATTAACCTTCTACATTGTAATCGAAGGTTTTTCACTACAAAATACTCTTATACGTAATGAAGTAAAAGCCACATATAAATGGATACGTTACGAACAAAATACCACAAAATAGTTTTCAAATGCATATGCACTATCAATATTCTGGAACATCCCGCTAGCACGTAACTAACCTCGATCTAACAAATTACAACAGTCCTCTTCATCGATTTCCATTTCAAAAATTTGTAGAAACTTAAGGCAATCTTTCATGATAAAGTAACATATATAAATTACATAGGGTTTTTTGTTTTTATTCCTCCAGCTATTGGCAATAACTGATTAGAAAACGCGCTTCATGTTACAAACATCAAATGAAATAAATCAGATAAACTATTCTAATTTGATAAACAGTTACAACTCTGTTTGGTTAATATTTAATCTTCAGAAGTGCCTATTGATTTTCATGATTAAATATTATAAAGATCCTTCAAGAGGAAAATCCATTTTAATTTTCTTAATATCGTATTTTGCGGTATAATATCGTAATTATATGCGGTGCTTATATAGATAATAAATATTCAATTGTTTTATCATTTCTTTTTAAATATTAAAAATTTTATTAAAATTTTTGTCAATATGTTCTTTGCATCGAAATAAAAATACATTTGACATTTATTATCTTTTTAAATTTTCCGTTATTATTAATATAATTTAAATAAAGTCAATAATGAAGCGGTTGGGGGATAAATGTTATTGCAAAGATAAAGTAAGTCGTTAACCTATTATTATTATTATTATTATTATTATTATTATTATTATTATTATTATTATTCCTATTTTCATAATTACCTGATCATTATTAAAATAATTAGAAAAATATATTTCTTAAATTATTACCAAATTTAACTTATGACTAAAAATTCATTAAAATCACGTTAAACGATTAATTTATTATTAGCATGCCCAAAATATGTTTACCAGTGTTAGATTATCTAAACTCAAAAAGAAATTAAAAATCTGAGAGCGTAATTGCGATTACGGTGTAATATTTAGTATCATCTTTGGACTTTGCTGCTGTTATATCTATGTCTGATAATGATTATTACATTTAGAAAGTGTAAGATTCGTATTAAACAAGTATCACTCGCCACAGAATTATAGGATTAGAATGCTGAGCAATTGTTGCACGAAATTAAATATAACTCGTCCAAATGCCAACACGGTTGTTGACCTTCCCAATTTTCTTCATAGTCTTTGAAACTGTGACATATATGTTTGTTTGTTTTATAGTTGAAACGAAACTATATTGTACAGTTTTACATAATTTACAAAAAATTATAATATTCAATACCCTAACATACCTACAAAGACTTATTTACTACACAAATGGATAAACTATATTATTCGAAAATTTGGTTAATTATCTTATCTATAATTTCACTTTGAATAATCACTGTCTTGTTTCAATTGCAAAATGCGATAATGCCATCAAAAATTCCACTACGACTACAGCTATGAATTTAAGAATTTTAACGAATCCGAATATCAAATTCAATTTCATTTTATTTTAAATAATTCGAGCAAAGTTTCCTTAAAAGCACTTTCGATTGTTTCTCGATTCTTCGAACTTACACCTAATTTCTTTTACATCCGAGGAATATTTATCAGATATCATCGCCTATTACTAAGTACACGGAGCTAGAGCCAGCTCTCTGTCAGGAGTTGCGAAAGATCGTGGACGCCATCGCGGTACCAGGGAAAGGGTTGCTGGCCTGTGACGAGTCTCCTTCATCTCTGCAAGACCGATTCGACGAGATCGGAATGGAAAATACCGAAACTAATCGACGCGATTATCGACAAATGTTGTTTACCGCTGATAAGGTCATTATACTTATAATCCGCAGCTTCTACTTATTTAAAAGCATAAATGGAATATCGTAAGCTATAACACGGTATAGTTATTTCGAACGATATAACAAGAGTACCACTATTTCATCTTTCGAAACACTAGTTTGAGATACTTAGAGACGAATTAGGTAATCTAATGTTAATTCATGCTGTATGACGCCAATCTAGAATAAGTTCTTCCTTTGCTGAGTACTGGTAACAAAGGTTTACTGAAAGGTTCCTTATCTTTTAAACGTAATTGTTATTAACGTGTAATTAGCGAACTAAATTGAAATTGAAAGTCGATGAACAATTTATTCCAAGTTTACTGCATGGCATTAAATACTTATTAATCCTTTGCACTCGAGAGGCGATTCTCAGTCATTTAATCAGATTCTAAAGACCGATGTTAATTAATATATCAAATTTAAGATTACCTAACGATGCGTGGAATGTCGTACTAAAATAATTCTACGTTTTAATTTGTATACAATTTCTTATTTACTATTTTAAAAATATTGTCGACTTTATGCCAGAAAGTCTTCGAATTACTATTTTTCTATAACCAATAAGTCACTGATTGTGAGTGCAAAGGGTTAAATAGTCCCACTGTCAGCCCTGACCGTCAGCCACATCAACGATGTTAGTTCGAGATATCAATTTTGGATATCAATCGGATAAGAAATCTAGAACCAATACAAATCAACGAAAATAATCAACGGAAGTGACGGAAACATCTGTGCTATATATATGATACTTATCTAAGCACTTTATTAAACCGTGATATATGGAAATCGTGTTAAAAGAAATTATATTATAAGAAATTTGAGTTATATCGGTCGAATCAACTATAGCTACTTGCGAGCGAAGAAGTAATTTCAGTATCTCTCGAAAGATCGTCCTTAATTCTACGATTATCTTTGATAACTGGAATTACCTCGATACATCGAACTGTACGATATCGTATTGCAACGAAAGTCTGATTCCTCCGTGCATTTTCTTATCGCAGTCTCAGTTTACACAATACATAAGCGGTGTTATTCTGCATCATGAGACAGTTTATCAAAAAACATCCGATGACGTCGAGTTAATCGAATTGCTACGTCAGAGAGATGTCGTACCCGGCATTAAGGTTGACAGGGGCCTGGTCCCGTTGTTTGGCGCAAAGGAGGAGAACACAACGGAGGGCTTGGACAATTTGCAGGAGAGATGCATACAATATAAACGAGATGGTTGTCACTTCGCCAAATGGAGATGCACGTTCACAATTTCGGAGACAACGCCGAGTCAATTGGCCATGGTTACAAATGCGAACGTCCTTGCAAGGTTCAATTTTGGTGAACGCAGTAATTGCTACGTTACTTTTCTATCGTAGTAGAATGAATTAATTGCAAGGGTTCAAGGATGACAATTTTTGCAATTGGAGAACTATGTTAAATTAAATCTCACTGTATTATTATACTCGAAAAGTCGAAATGGTTGAGTGGATAATGTTGGAAAGATCCTACATGACCATATGTCCATCAAGAGCTTTCCTACACGCTGAGTCATTATGACAATCGACATCATTAAAAGAAGAAAGTATAGGATTGACACTGAGTCATCTCTTTGACCACATTTTCTAATCGCTAACTTTTAACATTATTATCCAACATTATCCATCGTGTTTTCTACTTCTTTCGTAAACACAATCATTCATTATGCAGATAATTTTCCGTTCAATCAAATTTATACGAATATGATAACTCTTGCTGATAATTCATTCGCAAACATTCCGATTGTTTAAATCAATACAATAAAACAACAGAAATACACGCCTCATAGATTTGCCAGTATATGTCAGAGTGCCCGGATGGTACCCATAATAGAACCGGAAATATTAAACTGCGGTAATCATGGAATAAACAGAGCGTTAGAAGTTAACGAAGAGGTACTCTCTGTTATATTTCATACTCTACAAGAACATCGTATCTACCTCGAAGGTATGATCCTGAAGGTTGCAATGGTTCTGTCGGGAATAAAAAATGGAGCTAATTGCACACCGCAGGTAAGATATGAATAATTTACTTTTTATACGATACTCTTTTCGTTTGACGTACGAAATTTGTTGTATTAAGAAAACTGTCGATAGAACTGTTCATTAAATTTCATTTCCGACCCTCATTTAGTTTCCCAATTGCTTACTTTAAACACGAGTCAAAGCGAACTATAGAACTGTCGTAGAATATACCATGAGATAATTTAATCATGAATTATTAAAAATCATTTGCAGATCATTGCTGAACATACGTTAGCAGCTCTGCAGAGGACAGTGCCACCAGCAGTGCCAGCTGTCTTATTTCTAAGCGGTGGACAATCAGATACAGAATCCGTCTTAAATTTAAACGCTATAATCACCTACGAGGGAAAAAAACCTTGGTTCCTCACTTTCTGCTATGGTCGTGCTTTACAAGTACCGTTATATACCAATCATTTGCACCGAAATTATAAACAAACTTTTTTATAATCCCCAAATTTACTTATATATAAAATACGAAATTTCTCTCAATAATCCTGCTTCCTGAAGAACGCAGCGTTGCACGCTTGGAAAGGAGACCCAGAAAAGGTGCAAGATGCTCAGGCAACATTCTTGGAAAGGGCAAAACTCTGCTCCCAAGCTTCGTTAGGAAAATTGGAACCTGAGAACGGAGTATGTACTAGGAGGAGTACGACTACTCGTTAAAATGATCGATTAGCTTATAAAATACCCTACTGAAAGGTTCTACGTTATAATTACATGTATATACCTGTATAAACGAATCTCTGAAATCTTTCCAACGTTTCATCATCAGTTGCATCATGCGGATTTCAATTATTTCCCATTATCTGTTCATTCACATGAACATCTTAGTTGTAAGATTATGCCGACGTGAGATGACATCTGATAAGTCGATATCAATGACCTTTATCGTGCAACGATAAAGATGTTTTAGCGAAAATCAGCATGCCCATTTCATCATACGTACGAGAGTGCGTCAACCTTTACAGTGAAAAATGTAAGTCAGTAAATTCGGCGAATGTCGTACAAGGTGCCCTTGACTAACCTCTAAAGCAGGGATTCTCAGTCAGTGGCTTCTGCGATGGTACGTGCGAGTTCGGACGTGTAACGTTCGAGAATTTGCTCTCCTAGTGGTCGATACGTCGTCATTTCCATGGATCCCCACCAACCACTTATCCTTCTCGACTTTACAGACCTGATCATCAACACGTGCGCTCGGCAGTGTCGTAACTGTGGGGCAATTATTAAATACGACTTGATATACTTATTTTTGTTTCAAATAAATATAAAAATATTATACCAAAGCATGTGGTCCTTTAATTTATTCATAGAATGTACCTTTGTACATATTTCCATTACATGCACGCGTGACGCGTATGTAACATATATTTAGGATACCTGTAATCGTTAGTTATTGAGAAATGATATTAATTATAGTGCATTAAATTTATTTTTGCCTTACCATCTGAGTCTTGTCAGGATCACTAAAAGAAATGTTAAGGTATAATGTAACAATAAATGTTTTGTTACTCTGAGTTTGGGACATATCGTCCCTTATTACTTGCGGCAATAATTTTATTTTACAGATTGTATAAGTATTTATTTAGTTTCAAATATTATATATCATATAAATGTTTTGAAATTTGTAATCTGGTGTCCGGAATATCTTGAAGACCAAGCTTTGCTAAAAAAAAAAAAGAAAGATTTAATATATAATATATAAATTATTTCAAGCATAGTTTCTTTTATATACAACACGAGAACCATTCTATTTTCAAACGTATAAACGTATTTTTATCACTAAAATATCCGTGGTGCTTAATTCTATATTTACGTACTTACGTCGTTTCGATTGAAGTAACGGTCATTCGAGCCAAAGTTGAGAATCTTTGCAACCGAGAAGAGTGCGCCTGCGCCAATATCATTCTGGTTTAGACTTCGAACCAACGAATATACTAGACTCACCTCAGTTGCTTTCCAACCAGCGAATAGTTCGGCATACGTAAGCACACGTTTCGAGTCAGAAATCATCTCATCGATATAAGGTAAGCTAAAATTGTGCGTGTTTTTGAATGAATAATTCATTGGAAGTTGAAATGGAAAGTGCCGTGCATTTTTATCATTTTTATCGATTGTTTTATGCCAAAAAATTACTGTGGAGAATGATGTTTGATTTGCAACGGGATTCGACCTTGAATGACATTTAGTCGTTACTCAGTCAGGTTCTCTGTAGCTTGAAATAGTGTAGGCACAATGATGGCACCGCGTGATGTTTTACTATATATTACGTATGCAAATGTCCACGAAGCTATGTTCTCGTCTGATGTATATACTTACAGGTCAAGTTCAAATTACATGTATATACATGATTGTACTACAGGTTTTAAATTCAGTGAGATTTATGACCTGACAATTATTTCGTATTTGTTTGCATTTAAATGACTACAAAAGACTGATTCACAAATATGTTCCTGTTACTTTGGATGTAGACCAATTTAGTTTATACAAATGAAATTTTATTTGAATTTTTAAACTACCTTGTAGAAATAATATTTTCAGTGATTAACACGTGTGTTGAAACGAATGTCTTAAAACGCAGAATATTTGGTATTCAATATTTATCCATACGTGTACTCTGAAACATAAAAATACAAATGTTAAAATTAAAATTTATCAATGAGCATACTCCATGTTTAATTTTATTCATAAATTATTTAATCTTACCATTTAGTTATCAGAGTATAAGTTTCTTCGCATCAAGTTATCGATATAACCTCTAACCGATAATGCGTATCTGTCATAATAGTAAAAGTGTTTCTATCTTTTCAGCTATTGTAAAATATTTTACTCTCATACGATACAGTACGAGAAGAAAAAATGGATTTTGAAGGTTATCCTCGATTTATCTATAAACTTGATTTTATTCTGTAAGAGTCATCAAATTCTCTATCAAATGGATATACAATGGATATACATTGAAATGTATACGTACACTATTCATAACAATTTGTTATGGTCCAAAGTGCATGCAAGAATATATTATATAAAAAAAATATCTAACAAACTAATACATATGCTAATATGAATTATGTGGAATATTTTATCTCTGCTTTTCGATATCTGTTTTCATTATTTCGCAATGACAAACTAATTTGGTAGTTTCGTTGAATATAATCAATATTGCGATCAATGATTGTTATAGGTTAGTTGGAATTAGATCAATTGTTTACAGGCATTGTTCAATCGTGGCGAGAACTTATGCAATCAGGCATAGAAACTATATCGTGCTATGTGAACATATACTTAGATGTTTAGGATTATTTTGACAGGCAGCACTGTCGTAACGAAAAATTAGCAACGATGAACACGTGATAATAAAACGAGGTGCATCTACTGTCCACACACACGAATGCAGCCAGATGTACACGTGTCAGCTTTCCCACGAGCATTTCATCATAAATTCTTTCATCTCGTAAATACGACCAAAGCTTTGGCGAATGACCAAATTCAACTAGTCTTACGAACGCTTTCAGCGCCATCCTGTATCGAGTTTTGTTCGTAACGGAAATTAAGCCATACCTCTATATTGAAATCTATCAACGGTCTACTCGAGAAGTTACATATGTGTAGCACTCTCAAAGTTGATGTTTTCTCGGGTTATAAAATATTCTGTTGAATTTCCATATATGTGCCTAAATTGAGTTTGATTCGTATTTGTTTAATATAAGACGGTATATTGTAAATGGTGACTGGTGGTTAAGCAACTTTCACTATTTACCATTACTCACAGCTTTCACATACATCTATGAGAAATGCTTTCACTAGAAATCGATTATAAGTTATTTATTATTTGTTACACTTATTTTATCGAACTTATTATATATGTAACTCCATAGTTTCTACTTGTATTATATGTTATATAGCGTTAAATATTAAATAAGTCATTTGCATGTGTGTAAAAATGATTGTACTAATACTTTGTAACTCAATTTTTTTTTTTAACAATACGCGTGAAATATATTAGATGCAATATTAACTTTCATGACTGTTGTTTTTTTCTGGGACAAAAAATTATCTCATACAAGCTTCTGCTGACTTTTGCACCATTTTTTAATTTTCACTATTTTATTTCATCCTTCATCCATTTTGTATTTCAATGATTAATATTGTATTATATTCTTATTGCTTATTTTGAGGCTTTTATAATTTCAAATATAACAGGCATCATGAAGTTTTGATCCTCTATGTGATATAAGCATATAACATAACAATCTTCCCATGGTCATAAATTTCCATAAGATATCATTGATAAACAACTAACTGATAGCAATTCAAGAAAAGCAGAAAAATAGGAAGATAACAATAAAATCCACTGTCAGTTAACCGTGATGTATGCCCTTTATTTATTTTTTTTTATTTATTAAATCATTTTCTTATACCATATATTACTTTTTATATTTTCTATAAAAACCAATTTTAAAACTGCCATACTAATTCAATATCGACCTAAAATTGTGAAGGAGAGAGGCGGAGAGATCCCATATGTTAAACATTAGTTTCGGATATTTAATAATTTACGAGATACTAAAATAAAAACTTTTGTCACTAGCATAGGAATCTGCCTATACCGACGTAGCTAATACGATTGTTTTCTCTATAGTAGCAACCGTCGAGTATCGAATAACCAATAATACGCATTATTTTTTGGTTTGAGTTTCTACAGTACTGAAAGCTTTTAATTTATATTTCGAAAAGAATAGTAATAAATATTAAAATAGAGAATCGATTTGTATTTTTTTCGACGAGGGGTTCATTTGAACGCGTGAGTAGGGAGGAAGTGTACCTCTCCCTTTGCATCCTCGCCGCGAAAAATATAACCAAACTTATGCCACACCTGCCATTATCAAAATTACGCAATGGAACTTGAAAAAACGTCAGAATGACTTTAAGTGGATCGCCATATAGAAACAGAGGCCGGAAATCACCATGCGTCACTGATTACTCGGTATTAGATTACTATAGAGAAAATGTTAATTTTACTAATGTTTATATAGACAAATTTCTATGAGACTGTTTATAGGGACCGTTAAATAACTGAAAATAATATTTTACATTTAGTATCTATCCCTTTTCCCTCTTTTCTCAAAATCTGACACAAACAAATGGTAATTTCTTCAAAATTTGAATCACCACAGATAACTCGCGATTCTTCGTCTTAATGACACATTGATAGAGCGTGAAAATTGTGATACAAGATTACCGGTCACTACGTGCTTCTGAACAGTTAGCATCACGTGTTAACGTCTTCGATCAACGGGTTATAATGGCGCCGTGCACAGTGACGTCACTTTTTAATTAATCTTCGTCGCGAGTCAGATTGTTGATTTCATGATTATTACCCTTCTCTCCCATTCGATTCACTAATTAATTCTGTTAACAAAGACTCGAATAACGTAAGAAGAAAGCACAGCATGAACTGCGCGTTAGGCAATTCACGTCAAGAGTCACCGCCAGGTGCACCTCGTTTGAGGTTCAGTTCTTTCGAATGCCATAGGTCAGAGTGGATGCGTCGCGCAGGCGTGTTTGCTTATCCGTTACCGATTAACCGCAGTAATACTTGGTGCTATTGACCGTCCGTCGACAAGTCAGAGCTGTTGCGCAGATACCTTTTTTAGTGGCCGGGA